GGAAAAAAAAACTCTGTTAAACATATAATGGTTCTTCTAACATGCCAAATCTTTACTCTGTACTTATGATGTTCTTAAAAAGAGTTTCAGTTTTTTTCCTCGTTCAAAAAATATGTGTAATAATAGAAAGGCTCTACATTATAGTCCCATCACAATCAATATATTTAACAATCAAGCAATATTATCAAATTTTTAATAATATAATGTTAATATTCAGCAATAAAAAATACGACAGTTTACTTTAGGTGTATAGAAATAGAATTGAACTTAAAAGGGCCCCATCGTTTTCAGTAGCTTAGGGCCCCGCCAAGCTCAAATCCGGCCCTGGTTTTAACCTTTTCGATAGTACAAAAAAGGAAAGAATAATATGTCGAAAATGCTTCTTTTAACTTTCTATATTTGAAAGGGCACCAAACAAACATTGCAGAGTAGAATCAATCGAACTTTTTCACAAGTAATTCTTCCCATATACGCTTTCAAAATTTTATAATGATTGTACGACTTAAGTGGGAAATTAGCTGCGAAGAAATACAATTAAGTTCTCTGTCTTGAAAAAAAGGAAATTAATATCCGAAGAACCCAATAAAACAAAACAATATGTAGTTAGTGCTTTCATGGTAATGACGATAAAATACAATTTAAAAGTAATGATAAAATATAATTTAAAAGTAAAATACAATAAATATTCAAAGGTAATGATAAAATACAACATTAATTCAGACGTAACGATAAATACAATAATAATTCAAAAGTAATGATAAAGTACAATAATAATTCAAAAGCAATAATAAAATACAATAATAATTCAAAAGTAAGGAATACATATAACAATAATTAAATTATTGTTATATGTATTCCTCATATATAAATTAATGTTATATGTATTCCTTACATATAATTTATTGTTATATGTATTAATTATTGTTATATATATTCCTTATTGTAGGTATAATGATAAAATATAATATTAATTCTGAAGTAATGATAAAATATAATAATTTAGCCTTCCTATATCACCTTTCAAAGTTTATAATGGTTATACGACTTAAGTGTGAAGTTAGGTGTTAAAAAATACAATTAAGTCTACTGTCTGGAAAAAAAGGAAATTAATTTCTGAAAAAAACAATCAAACAAAAAATTTGTATTTAATGCATCAATGATAATAATGATAAAATACAATAATAATTCAACTATTATGATAAAATACAATAATAATTCAAAAGTAACAATAAAATGCAATAATAATTTAAAGGTAATGATAAAATATAATAATAATTCAGAAGTAATGATAAAATACAATAATAATTCAAAGGTAATGATAAAATCGATAATAATTCAAAGGTAAGGATAAAATACAATAATAATTCAAAAATAACAATAAAATACAATAATAATTTAAAGTTAATGATAAAATATAATAACAATTCAAAGGTAATGATAAAATACAATAATAATTCAAAGGTAATGACAAAATATAATTTATCTATAATCATATTAATTATTTTTGAAATCTGAACATAATTGAAAAATCTTTACTGATGAAGCCTTTCAGTTGGTTGATTGCTTTTCTTTATTTAAGAAACACAAAAATTATTTAAGACATTTGTCTTAATTCATAAATGTTTTTTTTTTCTTTAAATTAAAAGTAGTTCCATTATATTTCATAAAAACTACTAAAATAAACAAATTAAGTTTCATTTCAATGAATAATAAGGAAATACACTTAAGCTTTTATATCAAGGTTCAATTTCTTCTGAAAGTAACAAATTCAAAGCCTCAAGATTTCATCCTATTTCAGAACTACTTACCCGGAACCGATCAAGATCTAAATCTGGAGAACTTATCTATTCTTAATGTCATCTTTATATTAAAAACGAAGTAATTCTATTGTGAACGTTCTTATACTTGCTTTCGAAACTCCACTTCAACTTCTATCTTTCTTAATTAACATAGCCTTGAGCGGTTTTGAAATCAATATTAAGAACTTGGAAATAAGATATTGGTGCGTGCTTTCGAATAAATATTTTGCGTTCGTAATGTATTTCTCCTTAAATATAATTGGTTGCAGTGTAATGGATGAAATTAAATAAATTTTGCGTTTGTGTGATTAGGCGCATACTCTGCAAATTATAGTAAAAAAAAATTCTAATGCACTATCTTTGAATAATCGCATTGTTCTTATTGTTTGAATATTCAGAAATAGTTTCCGTAGATATGTACAGTCTGCAAATTAATTAATAACACCTAATTCCGTGTTTTTGAAAAGCATATTTTCTGTTTTTATTTTTCACAAAAAATTAATTAATTTCAAATTTTATCAATTTCACTCTAACTAATAATAAATAAATGTAAAACATGCTCACGTATATGTAGAATATATAATAGAATTTTTTACTTCCTCTAATGAAAAATAAAATATCCAACACCTACACAATTTTTTTAGCAATGCATTTCTATTAAAACTCAAAAGTCTTTGTAAAGTTTCCTCTCACCCACATATTACAATACTAGAAGTTCCACTTAACGATCCCCGTAGTTGTTTCTCATTTATCATTGTTTTTATCTTAAAAGTAGTAAAAAAATAATTTTGCTAAAAAAATTACTAATTATTAATTTCTTATATTAGCACGAAATTTATTCATATGTTAATCGCTTGGCGAACAAAGAGCTCGTATCCTTTGGCCATGGTTGATCGTAACGAAATTAAAGGATGCCTATATTTTAAAAATATCTTACTGTACTTGAAAAGAAAAATTTATATTTATGTAGACAAAATGGGCGATACAATAAAAAGTAGTAAATGAAAAGAAATTTCACCTGTTAAATATATGTAACGATAACAATATATTATATGACAATTCACATTGAAAATATTTTTTACCTCTCATGATTTTTTTTTATAATTGATATAAATGTAAATATTTATATCTGGCAACATCTTATCTCTCACGTATTTTTTTATTTATTATCTTTTTAGTTACTTTTGATTTGAAAAGTTGAAAAAAGGATAAATCGCGATAAAAGATAAAGAGATAATTTTTCACAACAATGGATACATAATTATTATATAAAAGAAAAATGCAAAAAAAAATTTTTTTAAAAATTTCGAAAAATTAGAATTTTGAAAAAACTTTCGTCAAATTTCAACTGAGCAATCAGTGAGCAGTATTTTTTTACTTCAAATTTAAACTTGATAACACTTCAATTAATTGTCAAATCATTTTCTTTGCTCTTTCAGCATGTCAAATTTCAACTCTGCAGTTGCATTTCTGCCGCCAGTATATCAAGCAACGTGTGTCTTTTACCACAACTTTTACAATTAATAACTCTTCAATTAAGTGTCGAATCAAACTATTCGTATATTTTCTACACACCTTCGTAATAGACCCTTTTTTTTTACCGGCAAAAAAAATCACGAAAAAAATCATTTACAAATTAAATTACTTTCGAAAAAATTGGAATTTCGAAAAGCAAACTCGATGTTAAGTTTTAAAAAAATGTGGACCTCTCAGCCTGTCAAATTTCAACTCTGTGGTTGCATTCGTGCCACCTGTAGAGCACCTGTACGGTATTTTTTTTTAATGGCGGGCACTTGGAACTATTGTCCATTGGCCACAGAAAGTGCCAGAACTGCTAACTCTCTTTTCGTTACCCAGTGGGCATCTGTGGCGAAGCCACGGTGATGGAGCAGCGTCACCCACGTCACCCTACCACAACCCGTTTATAGGGCGGGTAACATTCACACACGAAGGAGAAAAGGACACAGAACACAGATAGAGAGAAAGAAACATTCATGCCTTGCCCGGGAGTCGAACCCAGAACCTTTCAGATGCAAGGACAGTTCCCTGCCCCCTACACAGGCCGGTCGGCTGTACGGTATTTTTCCCCCTATAATTCTGACAGTTAATAATTCGCAAATAATAATCGAATGTAAAATTATTTTATTCGAATGCATTTAGCATTAAATTGTGCATTTTTCTCACACCTCAGTAGTTTCAAGTTTCTAAGTCTCAAAGTTTCTGTCTAGCAAAAGAAAATGTAGCGTTAAGTTGAACAACCAAAACAACGGCGGCGCTTACGATTTATTACATAGAGAGATATCATACAAATTGATTTTATTGGAACAACTGAGTTTCCATAAGAATTATTTTCTCGCATTTTTTAAAAAAAAATTAATGATTTATTCTGATATATGATTTTAAAAAATTGATTTTTTTGTCATTAATAGCATGCAAATGCCAATAAAATATTGAATAATTCAAATAAATTATAAACTCCAAATAATATTATCATTTGTGTCTAAAATTATTTTAATTTATGTTCTGGTATTTTAATTTTAAAAATATCATTGAAATGTTTCAGTTTTCAAAATTTGAGATATTTTAATTTTTTTTAAACTCTAATAGAACGAAGTTGATGAAGACAAAACAAAGATTGTTTATTTTAAATTAAGAAGAAACGCTGTTGTTTGTTCAATTTCTAGTTCTTTCTTCGGTTTTGCTCAAAATTGAAAAAAGTGTTGCTAATTATTAAAAAAAATAAAACTACATACATTTTAAAGAGATATTTTTTTCCTTAAATATCCTGATTAAAAAATAGAATCAAATAAAAATAAATTATAGGTAATATAAAAAAGTGAACGTAAATTTTTTATTGCTTTTTACTTAGAAAAATATTAGAAGATTTAGCATTCAATAAAAAAGTTACTATGTTAACATTTTAAAAATCTTCAATGTTTAGAATCTTCTGAGGATAGTATTCAGTTGGCAAATTGGGGAGATGGAGCTTTTTATTCCTTTCCAATATTCAAGAAGCAAATAAAAACTAGTTAGAGACACTGAAAAAAACTTATTTTTATTCATATTTGTTATAAAGATAAAGATTTAAAGAAACTAACCAAACAGCATACGGAAGTTGCCAGGAAAAAGCTTCCGTTTTTCCAATGAAGGATATATACCTTTCGTTATTGAATGTTTCTCTAGATTTTACACAACACCTATCTTCAGCAAAATTCTTACTCTAAATGTGACGTTTGATATTTTTTTTCCTTATAAAAGATAATATAAATAAAAAGTTCAAAGTTCATATATTATTTTAGAAATGTTTTACGATTCAAACAGTCATGATTTTCATAGTCGGAAATATAAAATTAAACCAATGGTATGTTATCCTTATTTAATTATCGGTAATTTATTTTGTGAAAACCCCTTTTATGTTATTACATTTCTAATGTTTTCTATTATTAAACCAATTTCAAAATGTTTTACTTTTGTCTTATGATACATGATTTTGATTCCATAATTTTTTTAACATTATTTTACAAATTAAATCCGTAAAAAAGTTATAAATTATAACGATTTAATTTTTTCTCAAAAAACTTTCCATTGTATTAAAATGTAACTTATTAATTACTCTAAACCATACTTTTTGTATATTATGCATTTAATGCTAAATTTTTTTCCCTCAAAAACCATATTTTATGATTTAATTTCTTGTAATTTCTGAAAACACATCAGTTTACAAGTGATATTGAGGACAACATTCGTTGCATTTTCTCAGTCTCTATGTCAATTCCAGATAAAGTAGCATTGGTAGTAACTCATTTATTTTAAAGAAAGCAGACGATTTAATAGCATTCATAACTAATAAAAATCTTATAGTATAAATATATGTTTATTTAGTAGTATATAATAAATACATCGTTAAGTAGAAAATTTATAATTGTTTAGTTTTGGAAAATGTTGATCAAATCATTAAACAATTTTATCTTTTTTTTTAATCATTCAGAATAATTGTCAAGTATGATTTAAAGCAGTTTTTTTAATTTTTGCATCCCATCAAGTAAGATCTGTTTTAAGAAATTTCAATCGATTGATATACAATTTTTTTTAGGTTTAAAATTAATTTTGATCTGACAAATATTTTATATTTAATTCATCGTAATGTTAACATTAATTATAGTTTTAGCAAACCATAGAACTTCAAAGATTTTTTTTAAATTTTTTTATAGCAGGAATCTGTTAGATTTATAGTATTTTATATTTAGTAAGTAAAAATGACCTGCATGAGCATGAAGTGGGATTTTTTTTAATATTTAGAGTTAAAAATAAGTACCACTATTTAATACTGTCACAAAAATTTGTTTTCGAATGAAAATTTAACAAACATTTAATTTGTGATTTATTAGATTATCACATATTAGTTTCCATACTATCATATTAGTCACACTTGCTATTTAGAAGTAGATTGTTTTAATGTATGAGATATTTTCTTATGGTTTCAGTGAAAATCAATCCTATTCATGTTTATTTTTTTGTTTTTTTTTTCTTCCTCAGCCTCCTATACTTGTTGTAAATGTTACTGTGGTAGAAGCTCAAGGCTTAGAAGCTAAAGATCCAAACGGTAACTTGATAATAATTTCATTTATTTATTTACAATTATCTAATAAATTTAACACCATAACGTAAGATGTAGAGAAAAAAAAAATTCTCAGTATGCAAATTTGCTTTCTTTATTTTACAAAGATCAATTTATTTTGTAATATCCTATCACATACACTGTAAAAATTTACAGATCAAATTACCGTGCAAAGTTCTGGAACTTAGGGTGCATCCATTTTACTGTAAAATCCATTTTGCTGTAAAGTCTTATACAGCAGTATTTACAGTAATATTAGTTTAATTGGAGTGATTTTACAGTAATTATTACTGTAAAAATTGCGGTATATCAGATATTTTGTTTTTTACAATGTTTCGGTAAAAATGGATCTCATGGTAAAGTGTACCAGCACCCTGAATGCTCGTACTTTTTACCGTAATTTGATCCGAAATTCTTTACACTGTAATACGTGAAACTATTTAGTACTATAAAGCAATGTATATATTGAGATAAAAAAAAAGATTTTAAGACCAATAATAATGTAACAATATCGGATGGAAAACTTGGAAATCAGGTTATCATTCTTAGAAGCATCATTCATTCACAACGCTGTAGAATATAATCACTGTTACATGATTTCTTATATTTTGGGAAGATAAGAATATAATCGTAAAAGTTAAAGTTGCATGAATGAGAAATAAACAGCATATTTTGCATTAATGCAAACTTAAAGGAGAAAAATATATTCACAAACTTCAAATGGCATTCTTCAAACCAGGTTTTTCGTACACATGTCATGAAAACTGTTTATATTTTCATTCGATTTACTTAAACTTATGACGACACAATTACTCTAGTTTTTGTTGCACTTAAGGTTGTTTTAATTATCTTTGCATTTTTTTGTTTATTACAGGCTTTAATACTTTTTGAAGCTTGATTTAACTCTTTTTTTTTTCCTTTTAATCAAACATTTTGTCAGGTCTCTCATGTATTCAAAGAAATCTCATAAGCAACGTCAGTTATTTGCGCCCTAAATTTATTACAGGACCTGGCGCTTTGCAAATATTGCCGTCATTATTAAATACTCCAAGCCAAGGAAAAACATCTCGTACTTTCTTTTTAACTCGATATTTTTAGACTAATTACAATCAGCCCATTTACCTTTAAGCTAATTAAAAAACTCTACAAAGATTAACTCAAACAGTTTGGGTTTGACTGTACTTATTATAATTAGCCATGAACTATGATATCCCCTTCAGTAAAGAAATATGCTGAATCAAATTAATTGAGATTAATTGAGTAATCATTATTGTATCTTCAATGAATTATATCCTTTTTCTGTAATGTGTTGCAAACGGATTGCAATAAACCAGATTAATTTAGCTAATGAACTTTTAGTTTCGTAACTGCTTAAAAGTTTTGAACTCATTGCAAATGAGCCTAAGAAAAGTGATAAATGCTAAATAAAAAATACTGGTGAATTTCCTATATGGCAAATAACGTCAACGATTTTCGTACAATCAGCATATGACATATATATATATATATATATATATATTTATNTATATATAATAATTAATTAAATTTTCCGAAAGATTGTTTCATCCAGATGAGCAACACTGCAAAAACACTCCAACTTTTTTGTGTGTAGGATACAAGTTAAGTTTTTAATACATTGTTCTTAAAAAACCAGACCGTTTCAAAATGCAATTTTGTAATTTCTATTAAAATTTTAAACGAAAATCGAATGAAATAAACTTTGAAAAAAAAATGAATGCATCTTTGTTTTACAGGCTTTAGTGATCCGTATTGTATGCTGGGTATCCAACCAGCTAACACTCTAGAAAGAAGAAACAGTTCCGATGATGAATTCGGAACTGGAAGTATAAAAGGAAGTCCTAGAAGGCAGGGTGGCCTTAAAAAATTGGGGGCTTCCCTGAAAAGAAAAGACAGGATACGCAGCAACAGCATATCCGAAACGCTGCCAGCCAAATTCATCAGGACAACTTCAGTGAAACCACAGACACTGAACCCACGTTGGAACGAACAATTTAGATTGTAAGTAAACAAAAAGGCCCTTTAAGTTGATCAGTTACTTTATTTTATTTTTTGGTTAGAATTTTAAGGTTTGAAATTAGTCTTTCACAGTGTTTATTGAAACTCTTTTGATAAGAAAAATAAAAAGAAACACAGTTTAAGTGCCTAACCCTTGAGCGACGCTCTAATTGTAAACTAAAAGACTTGTTTGTGATTTAGAACGGTTGAAAATTTAAATATTTTAAAAGCCATAAAACTTTTTTTTCAAAAAAGAATTGCCAATTTGGCAAGATTCCTTTTACCCCTTCTGTTGAAAATTACCAGAAATAATGAATAATAATGGCGAACAAATTTTTTGTTGCATTTATACAAATACTTGACCTTGCCTAATTTGGGTGTGGGGATTTCAAATCTAAACTTATTTTTTCTCGCAAACCTTCGGAATTTTTAATGACGTTCCTGGTTTATTTTTGATGGAAAAGTACAGTTTTAAAAACTTTATATTTAACAGGAAGCTGCATCAATGTTACGACGAATTTCTGGGGGAGTAAGAGCACATCATCATAATAAAAACTGCATAGGAGCTTTAGCCCGGCAATGTCGGCATAAGTTCCTAAGCAGTTTTAAATATTATAATATGTCCTATCTACCCTGGAAGTTTATCACAACAGATATGTGACTCTTTGGTATAGATAACGTTTTTAAACTTAAACATTTCGACAAAAAACAGACTTAAAATGTCATCTTAGAAAAAACATTATAGCTTGGACAGAGAAACACCGGTTAATCAGCGACGCAAAAATATCCAAAATCCGTTTTAAAAATATCCCATGCTACAGAAAACAAGAAAGAAACTTAATCCCCGGTGTTATTATCTGATTTTGCAAACTTTTAATAGGCCCAGTTTTTTTTATTTAAATTTACTACGCAACTTTTCATGCTTCACTAAGTATAACATGGACTAACAATTGCAAACACACAACAGCATATTATTCGTTAAAAAAAAAATTCATTTAGTGAAGACAGAGAGCCATTCGAAGTGTGTAAATTAGTCTTCTTTTGCTTTCTGGTAGAAATAAAAACATAATTCATGCACCATTTGAAAGATAATTAAATACATTAAGCAAACATAATAATACATATACAAAATATAATATAAACATTATAAAATAATACAAAATATAATAATACATAATATAATAATACATAATATAATAATAAACATAATAATGCATAACATAATAATACATAATATAATAATACATAATATAAATCTATTTGTGCAAATTGATTTTTTTTTAAATTCCTCAGAGGTTCATATCCCCCTCAATAAAACTAAATCGCTACGTAAAAAGTAAAATCTTCCACACTTTCAATAAACATAGTGCAAATTTCATTAAAAATCTATTACCAGGAATTTGAAACTTCAAGAAAAACTTTTTTCTCTACGGAAAAATGCCTTATAAAAAAAAATATTTGAGACAAAAATAAATAAAAAACATAAAAGCAATCTTTAATTTTGATGACTAAAACTATTCACGGTTGAAAGAATCATCTCAACCAAAAAACATGTTTTTTTTATATTTAGAAATAGGAAAGTTTCGAGAATACTGTGCAACAGTACAGGCACTTTTTAATATAACTTTTTTTTCCTCCATTATATCAATAACAATACCCTTTGTTTGGTTATTCTTCTCCCCATTATCAAACTATCGCCTAAAGCTATTTTCGCTCATAAGCGGTAATTAACCATTTCAGTTTTTATATCCGCCCCACTTAAAATTTTGGAAAAAAGAGTAGAGAGCTTCGCCAAAAAATATTGGGGATTTGTTGAAAGGGAAAGCTTTTCGTTTGAAAGAAAGTTAATGATTAATTAAAGCTTTTCGTCGAATTTTTCTCATAAACCATTGTTTTAAAAATTTCTTTTGTATTTGCATTTTAGGCTTCATATATTTATTTTCTAGAGCAACTAAGCTGATACTCTACCCGGAATTTAGAATGAATGTGTCAGCAAATAGATTCATTAGCTTCTAATCAGAAATGCACGAGTCTTCTGGTGTAAATAAAATTTCTAAGTATTAATTATTTCAATACAAAAATGTTATATTATTTATAAGCTGATTAAGAGATTTTTTCGCAAATAACTCATATTTTTTGCAAGTAAGTCTTACTAATAGAAATTGAAAAAGCACTGTATTACACTCATGGACAAAAAAATTAGCGCACCAAGAAGGAGTCGTCAAAATGAAACGAAATTTTGCCTACGTAATGACTACTTTGATATAAGTAAATGATTAGAAAATCAAAGATTATCGTTTTTCTTTGATTTTTTAAACATTTACTATTACCAAAGTAGTCATTACGTATGTAAAATTTCGTTTCATTTTGATGACTCCTTCTTGGTGCGCTAATTTTTCTGTCCATGAGTGTAAATAGAACAAAAGTACAAACTAATATTTTATGATTATATGAACTAATATTTTATATAATTTTTCTCCGTTATGTATAAAATAAAAATAAGATTGTTTGGTTGGTTGATTAGGGTTTATTGGCTCAAGAGCCAGATATGGCTATACTGCGCCAGTCACTAGGTTATAAAAATTATTAAAGAAATTATGAACCTAATGCCAACTAACATACTAAACAAATAGTATTTTGTTAATGTGGAATTCAGATTTGTAGTTTTTTCTCATATATGTTTATATGTATCTATGTTACACATAAGAACATGAAATACGTAATGCCAACTACATACTTAACAAATAGTTATTAACTGATGTGTTTGTTAAATTTGTAGTTTTTTCTAATCTATATTAGCTCGACTTCGCGTGCAGGTCGTCGGGCTATAGCCATTCAGCAAGCAGGGTATTGCCATTCCCTCTGCAGAGGATCAAAATTGTGATGGCATGTCTTCGGATCATCCTCAGGGATGTTTTCCTGACCCTCACCAATAGCTTTTTATGCAGGTCTAGTGCATCGCAAATAAAGTATACCTATCTACATCCATATGAAGATTAGTTTTTAAAGATACTGATAAAATAAGATGATTTAAGCTTATATCAGTTCATTTTGTACCATTATGGGCATAGAAGAACATCCGGACATAATTATGCGTTAATTCTAACTATTTTAATGTCTAACAATTAAACTGAGTAATTTTGGAAATGTGCTTGATGGTACAATTTCAAAATTCAATAAAGTATGCAGAGTTTGAGAAAGTGAAATTTTTAATGTATTTTTTCAAGTATTTTTTTTTTAATTAAGAATTTCGATTTGTTTTTATTTTTTAAAAAAATTTAATTTTTTCAATAAAAGTCTTCGCGTGCCACTATTAAAACTCCACCGAGCTACATTATAACATGATGAAACAAGTTAACCAACCATATAATTTAGTTGTACAGTTATTTATACCTAGAATTAGATAACCTGATCATAAGAAAATATATAGGTAACTTCAAATCAAAAAATATTGAGTTATTTGGTTCGAATTCTATACCCAAGATATGAAATACTGTAATGCATTTCCAAGCAACTATTATAAATTATTGTTTTTCTATAATTGCTGACTTATACGGTCGCCATGTAAGATTTTACTAAGCCGTATTATAATATTACTTAAGGTTCTAAGAGTTTTCTAAAAACTAAACTATCTCACCTGTACATAAAAGTATAAGTACTGTCTAATGTATATACAATAGTACAATCATAATAGGTAAAGTAATTTCCCTACGTAAATTCAGAAGATTTAACTTTTACTTTAAAACGTTGCTACCGGTAAGAAAAGTTTAACTTAACAAGGTGGCACCTTCCGAGTACTTCGACTAATCAAGTTCATTTATTTTAACATGTTGTTAAATGTCGTTTCTTTTTTTCTCGTATTTGAGTATTGTCCAAAAGAAAGAAAGTGTAAACGCCCTCGATTTCCTTTCAGAAATTTCAATTAAATTAGAAGAATACAGTTTACGCAACATGACAACCCTCTATTCGAATGTTTGGTAATGGTAAATACAATAGGTAAAGTAATTTCCTTACGTATATTCAGAAGATTTACTTTTACGTTAAAACGTTTGTTACCGGTAAGAAAAGTTTAACTTAACAAAATGGCACCTATGATTTTCCGAGTACTTCAACTAATCATCTAAGTTCATAAATAGCAAGTTGTTAAATATCGTTTCTTATTTCTCACATTTGAGTTTTGTCCGAACGAAAGAAAGTGTAAACGCCCTGGATTTCCTTTCTGAAATTTCAATTAAATTAGAAGAATACAGTTTACGCAACATGACATTTCACCCTCTATTCGAATGTTTGATCTTTTGTGCGATATCCTTCAGCATTCTATCTTTGTGAAATAAAATAACCAACTACAACCAAACATTAAACTGTTACTATTATCTGACATCACAATACATTTCTTAAACACGCCGTCACTCTCCACGCAGGAAAGAAAACCACGACCTTGAAGAACGAAAACAAGAAAAATCGAAAGTAATCATGGGTCAGTTAAAGGTAATTTCAAAAATCAGTTACTTTTCGACTTGAATAAGCTGACGCAAGCCTTGATATATCAGATACAAAGAGCTTAAATCATTTTAAAGTAATTTAACTGTGACCTCATCTCTTTATTATCTTGCCATTCATTGCAACCACCTTCAAGAAACATTCTTTGTGAGTTTAATGAAGTAGCACGGAATAGGCCTTTCCCTGTTCTTAATTGTTTTGCATTGTTAAATATCCATTATGTAATTCTTTAAATTTTTTGTCAATGTATTTTGTCTAATTAGTGTTTTTTTTTTCTTTCTTTGCAGAGACATAGAAGATATCAGAACGGATAGACTACATTTAGATATTTGGTAAAAATTTATTTACAAAGTCAAAATAATTTATAATCAATTATTTTTTTTTAAATAAAACTAAATAAGGGATCGGTGAAATATTACGTAAGTACTAAAAGTGCGATATGGTTTATGACTTGCTTAATTTTGGTCACAAGGAAGATATGAGCAAAGCATTTGTAAGACATTAAAATTCCATTATTTTCACATGTAGTCCCCTTGCCGTTAGGCTAAGCATGGGATGTTTTCGTGATTTTCCTCTTCATGTAACGCAAATATGGGTTAATTCTTTTAAAAAGTCCTCCACGAAATCTATTTTGTTCTAATGCTTGACCAAGGAATTCTCTTGTCTTCTGGGTTGAGCTCAAAATTAAAATGCTATGGAGTTGAACATTGATAGTCGTATACTCAGTATTGGGTCGACTGCTCAACGCCGATTATAGAATGAAATAAAAGCCAAAATATAGCAGATAGAAAATGCAACAATATATTTTACAAACAAAAATTTCAAATCTGAAGTAAAAGTTGAACTTAGGGGAGAAAAATTGGGATTTAATATCCTTGAGCTTCAGAGATCACAAGCAGACACAAAATTTTTCTAAAGAATATTCCACTCAAAATTTTATAAATGAAGTGAAACATACATTTTGTTTGATGCTAAGTTACATTTGTCTCTTGAATTTAATTCTAAAATTTGAATGCTACACGATAATCAAAGTTAGAACAAAATCGGAGCTTTGCTAATTTCTTAAGTAAACATGAAAGGTGGTTTGCGATTTGCTAATATTTGCTAACAAGGGGAGATGCATTATCAATGCTTACGTTAAAAAAAAGTCAGTAAAATCCCATTGTTTTTAAAATTTTCTTAAATCCAAGAAAAAAGGCAACAAAAAAATTTACATAGAAAAATTTGAAATTAAGAATAAAAACTAAATTAGGGGAAAGAAAAAAAATGGGAAACAATTTCTTTTAAGGGTTGCAGTAGTTAAGGATGACTAACACAGAAGAACACAAAATATTTCGAAATAATATTTTTCACAAAATTTTAAAAAAAATTTGTAAAATCCAAAATTTTTTCTTATACAAAGTTGCTTCTTTTATTTGAACTAAATTCTAAAAATAGACTACTACACAAAAAAAAGGGGGGATACTGCGACTTTCTAAACCACGGGAAAAGGTTTATAACAAAGAAATAGGTCAAATTTTTTTTTAAAAAATTTGACAGAAACATGCTTACGTTATTTTGAACAGTCCCTAAATTGTAATAATAAAATAGAATTGATAAAAAATTTAATTGAATAATAGAAAAATTCCACTTTTATACAGCACAGAAAAATACCTTTCTTGCCTTATCGTTCTCTGTTTGACAACAAAAATAAAACTGTAAGTAATAGTTTAAAAATAAGATGGAAATGCCTTCCATTAACATAAATCTATTTCCTTTTTCTTTTTTCTAATAAGTAAAGTGAATTACTATTCCATTTTCCACTTCATATAAGACACATAAAATTATTATTTAAGTCATATGAATTTGATTTTTTGAAGAAAATTTTCTCCTTTTTAGTCTACTTAAAAAACGTAGTCTTTTAAAAATCTATTTATTTATTTTTTAACTAATTATGACTAGTGTTGTCTTATTTTTTGAGTTTGTGCCCTATGAACGTATCAAAATTTTAGAAATTTATGAAGATGAGAAAATCGTTTTGGCAATTATGTAACGATAAAATCTATTTATAGCGGTCAAGAGGCAAATTAAACTTTAAGTGATATCAGTAACACAGTTTTAGTGGAGATTTTAGAACTGTAGTCAGTTTGAAAAGTGTTCAAAATTTCGATTGACGATAGGTTCTTTGGAAATGATATGGAAAAAAAATCTTTTGCGAAGCGAATATATATTGCATTTTCATTGGGCACGCAATAGCAATGGAGATTTAAATATTCTAGTCGAAAATGGTTGAAATTTCGGTTGCATGATTCCACTAAATATGATAATGAAAATAAAGTCATGAAAGTATTGTAATAAAAATGAAATCATAAATGCATCATAATAAAAATAAATTCATTAACTATATAAAAAAGCTACTTATAAGTGGATAAAGTAAATAAATCCAAGGAAATATTTCACGTAAATCACAAAATATTATAGATGTCAGCAATTTCGAAACTTATTTTTCAAAATTTTTGAAACAATTAAACATTTAAAGTTCAATCTGAAATAATTACCAATTTGGCAGATGTAACATTGAAAAATATTTGCGTTTTAATATTTTTTTCAGTAAAATGTTTTTTAATTTTAGGATGGAAATCTGAATGTTATCCAGCAATTTTTGTTCTCTCAAAAATAAATAGATGGCAGCACTATTTGTAACAAATCAAATTATTTTTTCGTCAATTATGAATTGTTATTTTTAAAATTTCTTATTAATTTTTAGTAATACAAATGTGCTTGTTTTTTGTTTTTTTAATATACTGCTTTATAAGTTTTAAAGAATTGCATTTAATCAAAAATTAAGTTAAATTATTTGTTCAACTCGTATTTTAGTTGTGTTCGGAAACATTTTGTCAGATGGCAGCACTGGAACTTATTTTTGTTTTGTTTTTTTCAGTCAGTAATAATGACGTCTTTTGTACAAATTCTATACACATAATCCCTTTTCTTTCTTTCTTTTCAATAATTAAAAAAAAAAATTCAAACCATTTTATTTTAACTTATTAACAAAATAAATTAAAGCGAGTAGTTTTCAACACACATTTTAAAATTAATATCTATCGCAGAATGTATTTTTACAAGCAATAAATTTTTACTTCAAAACACACGTCATAAAAAAATAAATCATAATTATTATATTAAAAAATTAACGGTTAAATGTTACTCAATTAAAGCCATTCTTTAATACAATTTTTATCAATTGCTGAAATATCTTTGCTTCGCTAAAGCTAGGCGTAAGGATAATAATGTTATTTTTTGATAACGAAACAAAGTAAGACCCAAATGATTATGGACAATCGATTAAATTACTCATAAAAAAATCAAATTATTATATATATNGATTTGTTATTACTGGCATTAAAATATTTGTATTTTAAATGTCATAGATATTTTAAAAAATTCTATTATAATAGTTTGCTATTTCTTCATTTACATAACATATGCATTATTAATATTATACAATAAGGTTTTAGAATATTAAATTGACTTTATGCTTCTTTCATTTATTCGCTCGAAATTTTATTGAAATTTTATTATAAATATAATCAAATTAATAACAATCAATCAATGTATTAATAATTATTATTTTTATAAAATTCGATACTTTAGAAATTCTTATATTTGTTGTCATATATTCTAGGGATCATGATGATGAATCATCTGTCTTCGACGCCGCTAGAAAATTAAATGAAGTTTCTAGTTTAAAAGGTTTAGGAAGGTGAGTATATTTTTTATTCCAGCGATTTGTTTTTTTTTTTTTTCATATTGCTATTTTGCTATGATAAAATCATTTCGACGTAAATTATTGATGAAATTCAGTTAAATTTCTATTAAAAAATCTTAGTTGATACTAGTTCTACTGAGAAATTTAAGTGCATTCAAAATCGAAAAATTGAATAGTACAATTTTAATAAATTATTGAAAAGATGTCTACTTGGTCTATTTTTTTTAAAATGTAGTTTAAAAGTAAGTTCAACATTATAGCCACACATTCTAGGCAACTATCCATTTATGTCGACTTTTATCGAAAACTGATACAAGTGCAATGAAACATGCCAATCAAAATTAAATTAATCGGAGAAAATAAAACACCAATATTTTTAACCAAGTATTTTTAACTTACTAAAAAAATGTACCAAATGTTTGTCATCTATTTTAAAAATAACAAATTCTGCCGCCGTTTTATTTCATTAATATTTTAAAAGATTTACGGATTATATTTACTGAGAAACGCATTGGAGGATAAGGATTGGAATATAAATTGGGCATAAATTTAAGTGTTTAAAGATGTTTAAATTCCTATTTCACAAAATTGTGAGAACATAATACTAAATAATATTTTATTATTTAGAATCAAATTGTTTTAATGGTATATTTTAATTACTTTTTTTAAATTAGTTTTTATAATATCATACACGCACAAATATATACAGGGTCATTCATAATTCCCTCCGGGGTTTCGAAGCGTTATAGTAAAAAAAAAGGAGACGAATATGAAAAAAAGAAGCATATGAAATTATTTAGAAACTATTCAAGTTTTACTTACATACATTACAGGCGTTCTATGTGTGAACCCTTGGTCACACGGTATACATCAATGCGATAGTCCAGNCGGGGTTTCGAAGCGTTATAGTAAAAAAAAAAAGGAGACGAATATGAAAAAAAGAAACATATGAAATTATTTAGAAACTATTCAAGTTTTACTTATATACATTACAGGTGTTCTATGTGTGAACCCTTGGTCACACGGTATACATCAATGCGATAGTCCAGGAATTACCTGGAATTTGGAAACTTTAAGTTTTTAAATGTCTATCAGTCCTTAAAATATTTTGCAAAACCGTAGTAGTTGATAGACCTGTATATAAATATATTTAGTAAACGTCTTATCATTCTTAAAATTAATTTTTAATGTATAAAATTTTATTATTTCAGGTATTTCAAACAAATCGCACAATCTGCTCGCACAAGCACCGGAGAGAATATTGATGACTTTTTAGGCTGTGTCAATATTCGCTGTGAGGTAATATTTATAGTTTAATTTAAATATGTTTATGAACTGTGCATGTAAATTTTGAACTTTTTATGCTTAGAAACAGTATGAGAATGAAATATAAATTAATATAAATGCTTTTTTTCTTCTTCTTTTTTAACACTTTACCCAAGTTGCAAATTTAAATAATTCAAACTAATCCGTAGTATTTCTTTTAATTTATTTATTATTATTTTTTTAATCTATTTTACTTTATTTTTTAAATAATTGCCTTTATCTGTAAAAAAAAAAATCTTTTGTGACGCATTTAAGTATGTTACTAACATCTTTGTTTTTAATTATTCTTTCTGAATGACAAAAGTGCGTATAGAACTATATTTTAATAACTAAAATGCTTAAAATTACGTTTTGTATTATTATTTTTAATTTTGTACTGTTGTTTCTGTATTGGGACGCATTTTAACAAGCTTTTCTTCTAAATTCGCAAAATTTTCTTTACATAATTTTGATTTTAAAAAAATAATGAGAAAAATTTTAAAAAAACAACGGAACGTAATTTTAACCCTCCTCCCTCCCCCCTTAATCGTAAAATTGTTTACCCAAGGCAGAGTAACAAACAAACAAACAAAAAATTCTGAATATATATTCAGTTTTTGCTGAGAAAGAAATACGTCTAATTTAGCTATTTTTAAATTTGTTTCTGCATTGCTGGGATAGAACAATTGACTTCTCAAATGCAAATAGTGAAACAATTAGTTATTGATATTTTGCTTATTATTCTCGAATAATAATTTTATTTTGTATATTCCTATAAACGCCTTCTGCCACACCATATGTCACACCCGCCCTATAAACGGGTGTGACATATGGTGTGGCAGAAGTTGAACTCTTGACCATAGATGGCGCCACTGAAAAGCAAGAAACGCACACTCTACCTCACACATTACCAGCAACAACCACAAACTGGAACACTTCCCAACGATAGTTTTATGACCCAGTATATCCTTTAGTGAATTTGACTAGTTACAGGGTGACCAAAAAAAAATTCACCCCGCTGAGGAATTGGTGTTGTTTATGAAAAATGGTGGTATACTTCATCGCGTCTTCAACGTGTTTGCTCTGCTGCAAGCGCACTTTCAGAATCTTATGATTGATCTGAGTTATCTGGATCACAAGACATTGGGCATAAACTAGCCACCTTACTCTCCTGATTTCAACTTATGTAACTGGTTTCTGTGTGGAAATCTTGATGACAAAGTGTATTCGAGGAATCCGAAAACTGTTTCTGAGCTAAAGTGCGCTATTCAAAGACAAATAAAGGCTATTAGTGTGGCAACACAGGTGTCTGTAATACGACATTTTACGGTGCGCATGCCTCTCGTCATTGAAGGTGGTGGCAGGGAAATTCATACATTCTTCTTTACATTCCATTCTTCATTCTTTCTCCCTGTACATGTGTATGTTTATTGATTAAGCGCCCTCGTTGCTGTTAATATGAAATAAACTAGAACAATTCTTAAAACTTTAACGGCACTGTATGTCCCTTATTGCATTTGAACAGTGCTATTTACGTATAAATGATAAGTACGTATAAATGATAAGTACATCAATTGCATTGACGTGCTTATCATTTAGCTTAAATTATGATATTAAATTTATTTAGAAAATATTAATTTAATGATTTTTTGTACCAGGATATCCCGTCCTCGGGGCTTGATCGTTGGTTCTGCCTTGAGGGGAGAACTGAGCGATCGAGTGTTCAAGGGCAGATACGACTGAAGATTTCACTGAGTACACGAGAAGACAAAGACAGTGCAGGGGAGGATGACAATTGGAAGGAGGTAGTCGAGCATCAAGAGCTTTTATGGGTGTTCATTCAACATGAGCTAAAACAACATTTTGTAAGTTCTAATTTGTTTTAAAAGGAATATAAGTAGTTCTCATCATAATTCTATCTTTAATCAGCATCCCCTAAGCTTTTCTTCTGCAAGTGATAAACACTTGTCCTACCAAAGCGAAATGGCATAGTGATTGTTAAGTCATTTTAATTACACGAAAGTACAGCGTGCATAAGAGTAAGTCCATCTTTTACTCTTAGCGATCAATCATTACCCAAATAGCTTCATTTAATAGAATTATTAAATGATGAAAGATTACTTAAGAAATTTGACAATAAGTACCAATCACCAACAACAAAATTGTGTATGCACCAAAAATGATAAACAATAACGTTTATTTACAAAGTTGAAATCCACATCGTAGAACTTAAAGATATATTCAGGCAATAAAAATAATATTTGAATATCGTATTGGTATTGACAGTTTTTGTTGACCGATTCACGGAGTTTTTGAATCGTATATTTCTAAGTCATAAATTAGTTGACGTAAACGTTCTCAATAATCAGATCAATTAAATATACTATTGATAAATTAAGCATATATTTACATGCAAATTAAATGTTTCATAAAAAATGAAGCATTTAGAAATAAGAATAATACAAGTAATACAATAATAAGAGCGAAATTAAAATATACATATTCACATCCTTATCGTCGTTGAACTTGAAGATATAATCAGGCAATAAAAATAATATTTGAATATCGTATTGGTATGGAAATTTTGTGTTAACTGATTGACCGATTCACGGAGTTTTCGGATCTTACATTTTTAAGTCATAAATTAAGCGCTCTCAATAATCAGATAAATTATGATAAATTAAGCATATATTTACAAGTAAATTAAATTTTTCATAAAAAATGAAGCATTTAGGAATAAGAATAATACAAGTAATACAATAATAAGAGCGAAATTAAAATATACATATTCACATCCTTATCGTCGTAGAACTTAAAGATATAATCAGGCANTCATTCAACATGAGCTAAAACAACATTTTGTAAGTTCTAATTTGTTTAAAAAGGAATATAAGTAGTTCTCATCATAATTCTATTTTTAATCAGCTTCCCCCAAGCTTTTCTTCTGCAAGTGATAAACACTTGTCCTACCAAAGCGAAATGGCATAGTGATTGTTAAGCCATTTTAATTACACGTAAGTACAGCGTACATAAGAGTAAGTGCATCTTTAACTCTTAGCGATCAAACATTACGCAAATAACTTCATTTAATAGAATTATTAAATGATGAAAGATTAATTAAGAAATTTGACAAAGAGGTACCAATTACCAACTATAAAAAATGGTGTATATAAAAAAAATTATCAGCAGTAACGTTTTCTTAAACGCAGAAATCTATATCGTGGAACTTAAAGATATATTCAGGCAATAAAAATAATATTTGAATATCGTATTGGTATGGAAATTTTTTGCTAGACCGATTCACAGAGTTTTTGGATCTTATATTAAGTTATGAATTAGTTGACGTAAACGCTCTCAATAATCAGATAAATTAAATATAGTATTGATAAATTAAGTATATATTTACATGTAAATTAAATGTTTCATAAAAATGAAGCATTTAGAAATAAGAAAAATACAAGTAATACAATAATAAGAATAAAATTAAAATATACATATTTACAACCATATCGTAGAATTTAAAGATATATTCAGGCAATAAAAATAATATTTGAATATCATATTGGTAAGGAAATTTTGTGCTAAACGATTGACCGATTCACGGAGTTTTTGGATCTTATATTTTTAAGTCCTAAATTAAGCGCTCTCAATAATCAGATAAATTATGATAAATTAAGCATATATTTGCATGTAAATTAAATTTTACATAAAAAATGAAGCATTTAGAAATAAGAATAATACAATAAAAAGAATAAAATTAAAATATACATATTTACACAAATTATTCAGATTAAATATTTAGGAAAGTGTTTTCTCTATCTTACTGTCGAAATAGCTTCCATGGGAGTAAGTTTGATTTCTAAATTGTTTTTGAGAAGGGTAAGTGATCCATGTCAGCGATGACATATTAATCGATATACAAAATTAATTTTCTGCTTTACGGGAAAATATTTTAACTCTCCCTAAAACAAGCTTAAAGTGAATTAGTTTAACTTAACAGTATTTTGTCATTTTCGGATATGGGTTCCTGTAACAGCTTTTTTAGTGACGGTTAATCAATAAAAATAATTTAAGACTCTTAACAATTTAGACTTCAACTCTTAACACATAATAACACACTCTTAACACATCATACACATAATAACTCTTTAAGAGTTTAAAGGACTAATGGTCGTACGGAGAGAAATGTTTAAACTCTCTCTCTAATTAATTCTCTCCTATCAACTTTTTTAATGTAAAATGTATGTGTATTATGTTACTTATTGACTAAAATGTGATATGATGCATTTGCTACTTCAATTACAAAGCATCACATTAAGTGAAAATTGGAATGAAAAAGTAATGTATTGAAAATCATTCATTTCCTTAATCAAATATTATTTTTTAAAATTTGTAAAATGTTCTGTTTACTTTCAAGGGACCAAGCTATGAGTGGGCCGGTGACTTGCCTCAACCAGCGTTGACTATATTGCATCAACATGCTATCCAGGGAGATATTACAGAGCTTCAGCAGACTTTATGGTAATTTTAAAAAAAATATTATTTCCCTTTTGCTTTTGGAGTTTTAAGAAAGTCTTTATCCGTTTTCACTTTCATTAACATGTCTGTATACGTGTTGTTTAAAAAATCTCTTCAAAATATGCATTAAAACTTTATGGAAGCCATTCTGCAGAGAATCCTTAATTTGCTTCACTTGTACCTAAATACACAGCTTTTCTAAAGACATTTAAAGGTTCAATTTAGAATTTTTATTCTAAAATTATGGTAAAATAACCGACAGTTGTCTATTCATCCGATTAACCGAAAAGTTTGGGCTACAGAAATTTTTTTACCTTTATGGTTTTGAAACCGTTTACAACTAGTTTTATTATAAAACCATGGATACAAAACTATACGGTATTTTTTAGCGACCCTTAGGAAAATTTTCCATGGGATTGCCATAAAAAATGGCATAGGATATTCCTATGGCATTTTTATATGCCATACGTATATGGCAAAAGTGTATGGCAAAATTTTACCATAAGCAAAACCCAATAGGAATATCCTATGGCACTTTTTTATATGGCAAATTTTTGCCATAAAACTAAGATGTGCTTCAGCTTATGAAGAAATATTTTTCCATAGGCTATGGTACACCTTTGCCATACAGCTATGGGAATATTTGTCGTTGATATTTTACCATACATCAAAAAATAGTTACTTACAAGGATCTTTCGCAATGGATATTAAAAATGAAAAACTTAATAATTGTAGAAAAAATATATATCCAGATAGCTTTTTTTCAAATTTCATTGATAAATTTCCCCTGTTTTACTTGCAAAATCCTTTCTGAATGCTGTTCTTATTCAAATAAATTTTAAACGGTTAGTAATTTTAAACGGTTAGTAAAATGGTGGTTAGGAAGTGATGGATAATGGTCACTCCGACCACCGTTAGGTGTTCGGAGCGAGTGGGGAAAATATTGGCTATGTTGATTAGGAACAAAATATATTGAGTACAGGCAACAAATATTTGTTAAAGCTGTAAAAAACAAGAAAATAGAAATTGGGTCCGGAGGTCGGAGCGAGTATAAAAAACGTTAATTTGATTGATTGGTATCATAATTAGTTAAAGCGTCAGATATTAGATAAACCTAAAAGAAAGCGACGTAAAATAATGGTTTGATGGTCGGAGAGAGTATGAATTTTTTTGAAATTTTGATATGTGATACTAAGCTAAAAATTAAACAGACTATGAAACAATAAAATGCTATGAAAACTCAAAAGATAAAGAGTGGTGCCGGTGGTCGAAGCGAAATTAGTTTAAAATAGACCAAAACGGGACAAAAGCCGAATATGTAACGGTGCAACCAGTGGTGGCATGTGAACAAAATTTTATATATTAAAAAGATGGTGTTAGACTATGAAAAGCTAAGAATAGAAAACAGGCTAAATTAGTTGATTCCTTACTAGTGAGGGATATAAAACTCAGAAAATTTATGTTGAGTTGTGTTAAGCACAGTTAGAAAAGAGAACGCGGTATGGAAAAATTGGTAAATACAAAACATGATTAAAATCATTAAAATTAATAATTGCTATTGACACTTGGTCAGGGATAGTAAATAAAAATTAATTGGGTACAGGGAATCGCTATGACGAAAAAGCTGTTATTTCAAGGAAAGATTAAATTGTTAAACGCGTTTTTAGTAACAGCAGCCGATGATATGGCCAGGGACTGTCCCGTTGATGATATTGAAGCAAAACAGTTGTCAACCAGTAATCCAGCAAATCTAGTTAAGTGATGACCCTAAGCTATGTATAAATATGTAACAGAACATTGTACAAATATGTGGATACTTAAGAAATATTAGTTGTAAGATAGTAAAACACAGAGACATGATAAAAAACAATTTAATGCCAAGCAAAAATTAAACACAAAATAAAAGTATAAAGCCCTAAAATATGTAAGATAATGTAAAAAAGCATTGCTAGAACCTAAGTGGAATTAAAATCAAAAACTAAGAAGAATGTAAACACTGACTTTGATATTGATATATGACAGCAATAAAATGAAATTGTCACCGAACAATTTAAAAGAATTAGAAAATTTTAATTATTAAAGAAATGATGGATCTGGCTTGATGATAAGCACTTAACTGCGTTTTTTATCATGAAGATTGCTTACAAATTGCTATGGGGAATAGAAAACCATTAATAATGGAAAAGTGATGTGACTTTAAAAATTTATATAAAATAAGAGGGAGGGGGATAAAATAAAAAGAAAGATGTCGTTTAATCAGAAACAGTTGGGAGAAAGAAATATAAAAATTTTAGATAAAAATATGAACAGCAAGATATTAATTAAAGTGTACAAAGTCAGCGTTAAGAAATGGCAAAATTTAACATAGCGAAAACCTATACCCAATGGCGACATATTTTGAAAAGATACAGATAATAAAAGTACCAGACCGCCGAATATTAAAAACTTAATAAATTCAGATAGATGATCGCATAGGCGTTTGCAATAAAATGTTTTTGACCAAGAATGAGATCAAAAAAATATTAAAATAAGTAGCCAAAGTTAGCAAAAGATTCCACTTGTAGTGGATAACACGTTAATACGTGTCTGATACTCTAAGCCTAAATCAATGGAACATAGGATTTCAAACACTCAAAAATGGGAAAATTGGCCAATCTGAGGCCGGAAAAGACTCACCAGGAATGTCTTGTGGGATTTTATGTTGAATTTAATTAACTTCGGGGTGAAAAAATGGATATTTCTTTCTTTTAAAGATGCTTTTGAGGACTCCATAGGAGTAGTTGTTTCGTTGGTGGGGATCTAGATCAGCTGTTCCCTATGGTATACTGCCATACAAATCCTTATGGTTACCATTGGCCCATGGTACATTGCCAGACAAATTTCTATGATTGCCATAGGTCAATGGTGAAGTACCATACAAATATTTATGGTTACCTTTGGCCTATGGTATACTGCCATACAAATCTTTATGGTTACCATTGGCCTATGGTACACTGCCATTCAAATTTATGTGGTTGCCATAGGAGAATGGTGACGTGCCATATAATTGCCATACAGGTCTCTATGGTTACCATTGACCTATGGTATCTTGCCATACAAATTTCTATGGTAGCCATAGGCTTTTGCCATGCAAATCTCTATGGTAACCATAGGCGTATGGTATCTTGCCATACAAATTTCTATGGTAGCCATAGGCTTATGGGGTTGTGCCATACAAATTTCTATGGTAGCCATAGGTTGCCATAGATTACCATATAGGCTTCTCTATGGCAAATTTTCCTAAGGGAATTTACTGCTAGTATGGTTTCAAAACAATAGAAGCGAAATTTGACTAGACATAGGAGCTAGACTTTTCGTTAGGTAATGTACATTAAGGAGTATAAAACAATGGAAACTCTTCATATGCTGAAGGGAATGGAGGAAATATTGTGGTGTGAGGGCTAGCACTCGAACTCCAGTTCTGTCGATTATGAGACTGACAGATCATCCCTCTCAGCTGTGATGTGCTCGCAGTTGCAAGGAACTAAGTGGCTTCATTAGGTTGTATTACCGCGTGTGGTTGGTTGATCTTAGCTAAATGAAAATATTAAGGAGGTAGAATGAAATTTAGCTAAAAGAACAATTCAGAAAAATCATTATTTATTTAATGCTAGAATTAGAATATCCTGTAAATTGATATATAACATCATTAATACAAATGGCCAAAAGGTAAAAATTGTTAGAACATTGCGTTGTAAAAATTAGTTTAATCTTTAATAAATTTCCTAAAACGAAAATATCTAGAATGCTGAAAGAGAATGGATTGGTAATAAAAAATTAATAAAACATGAGACAGATAAGACAAATTACAAATACAAAAATTTATAAACTCACCACGTTTATTTTGTTAAGCAGCATTTTCTAAAGAAAAAAATTTTTCAAAAAAGAATAAATGCATATTAAGAAGACACATATCGACATACAGCCACACAGGCCACACAACGTAGATTATTTATGAAATCTTAAGGATAGACGTAGATTGACATCATCGAAAAAAACTATAGTACACCATCACAGCTTTTTACAAAAAACTGAACACCCCCCTAATGCATAAAAACGTACATCAGGGTACCGAAACACCATCGAAAAAAAAATGCTTCTTCCACAGTGGAAAGGGAGGAATCCCTGCACTACCACGTTGCCATTACTTCTTAGCGAACTCTGTTGAAACTCGGCAACTCAGCTGAAAGATGTCGCTTCGGGGGAAAAGTCCAGTCTAAACTCGTGACGTCAAGAGTGGATGTCAGTTGTCGAAAAGTTGCTCCTAAGGATGTGAACTGCTCCTGCAAGATCAGTCCAACGCACTTTCGTTTGCGTTTTTGTTGCAAAGCAGCTGACTACACAGCATTCCTTCTATTATCGCATTTTTGCGTTAAACATGTTTTTCACTTCAAGACATTTCTATAATTGTTAAACGAAGTTTAACAGGTGGGCTTAGTTGGTGTGATAAAATTCTTGTTGTTTAACCGATAGTATTAAGTGAACGCAGCAAATAAACGGTTTTTCTCACGGTTTATAGATTGATTACCATCTTTTTTATGGTTATTTCACTCTTTTGTTTGAATATGATAAAATAATAATTAAATAAATTGTCATTTAACCATTTTTGTTCGAGAAATATCTAACAGTGTAAAAACTTCTATCATATATAAATAGATTACAATTTCTTAGGTTATTTTGTGCTGTGCAGCAATAGAAACAAACGTTATAAAAAAGATGAAGTATTAAAGGTCGCAAAATATTACAAAAAAACGGTTGGCTGTTTCAGAAAACGTTGTCTGTTTGGTTATAACAAAGACCAAAAATTCACGAATGATGTATGAAGATAAAAGTAATAATTTGTATTTTTTACTAAATGTATGGTAACAAGTACTATAACTTTGAACACCAGAATTTTCGGTTAATCATTTAAATACCAAGTGCATAGTTTAAATAGCGTATATTTTAATTTTATCAATCAAAGTAAATTTCTTTTCTTATTAGAAATGTCATTACTATACAGTACGATGATTTTACTCGTATTTTATACTCCATGATCTTATGCTTACTCTTTTTCGTAGTCGTTGGACCATGTACAGTAAGCAACACATGGAAGTGCCTCTGGACTATGCCTTACTGTATCAACTACTGGATGACCTTAGCAAAGCTTGGGGAGAACAGGAGAATCCACTCTCCAGGGATGAGGTATTTGCTTACGTTTAAAATTGTCTTTTATTGAATAGTAATGTAACAGTATACCGTATAAATTTATGATTAACAATTCAAAACAGGGACAAACTCCTCTTTAGCCAAGCAACAAATAGATAGGGTTTTTTTCTTTTTAAAATTTCAGATTATCGTGCTAATAATTTATTTATAAACTTGTTCAACTTAAACAGAGAAGCAGTTCAATTTACCACCATTTTAAGGTTGAAACAAAGTACATGGTGTTATAGTTAGAGGAATCAATATTATAGTTCAACGTTGAACAATTTTTTCTCAGAGTAAAACAGACTAACTTTATCCTACAAGAAGCATGTCTTGCATGAGTCTTTCAATATAATAAATGTAATTGAGTCTTTCAATATGGCTTGACTTAAACGGAAACACAGTTCAATTTAGCACCATTGTAATGAAGTACATTGTGTCAGGTTCCAGGAACCGATATTATAGTTCAATATTTTTCTCTGAGTGTATTTAACTGTCTTGTTTATATTATTTTAGGAAGCATCTCTCGCTGAGTCTTTCAATATATTTTTGGATTTCTCTCTTAAATTGATGCAGAAGCATCGAGATCTATTTCCTCCTGGAAACACATTAGCACAGCATAAGCTCACACATTTGCTCAAGTAAGAATACTATAAAATTTATTATAATATTAAGATACTATCTAAAAATCTTTTTGAAAAGGGTAAAAAAGCAATCAATAAATCATTTCCGAACAATATTACAAAATCACGCACTAAACTGAAAAAAATATGCTGGCATAATTAAGAAAGCTAAAATTACCAAAATATTTTTAATTTATTATTATACTTTGCCCTTCATGGTAGCTTTATGTTACTAGATGACGCAATCCTTCAAAATATCCCATGAAATCATCCATATCCCATCAAAATAAAAATTATTTTTATTCAGTATCATTTGGAATGAAACTATTGCTCGAGGTTAACTCAATGATAGTAAAAATTTACCCCAAATTGAACTGTTTTCTTCAATTAAGCTTAAAGGAAAGCTTAAATTACTCCAATATTTTTAATTTATTATTATATTTTGTCCTTCATGGTAGATCCATGTTATTAGATGACGCAATCCTCCGAAATATCCCATGAAATCGAATCATCCATATCCCATCAAAATTAAAAATTAACTTTATTCAGTATCATTTGGAATGAAACAATTGCTCAAGGTTAACTCAATGAAAGTAAAAATTTACCACAATTGAACTGTTTTCTTCAATTAAGCTGCTCTCTTGCAAAGTATTTTCCGTATAGTGATGATTCCGTATAGTTTCCGTATAGTTTATTCCTCTTCTATAGTATCAGTAAAAACCTCTTTCTATAGCATCTTTATTAAAACTGCACAATATTGATGCAATTTTTATACTCTCCAAATATACCAGTGTTATACACTGAATCTATATTAGTATTTTTGGCATCAATTAAGCTGCACCAACTAACATAATACCAGTAGTGCATATTTCCAAAATTAATTGACAATCGTTGGCGTCAAATAGTATGGAGAATTTTTAAATTTCTGCTAACTGAATTTGCTGCATTGCTTCATTAATTTTACTTTATACTACATAGTTAATTTTTTTTGTTTTAATTAGTAACTATTACCAAAATTAACTAAGCATCATTAGCTTAAAAAATGGTATGGCGGTTTTTTAATTTTTTTCCTAAACGAGTTAGAACCATTTTTCTATTAACTTTATTTTAAAACATAGTCTTTTTTGCTTCAGTTAGTGCCTATTATCATAAGTAATTAAGCATCATTTACGTTAATAATAGTTTTTTTATTTTATTAAATCTCTGGCTGTAACGCAAATGCGGGTTAGTTTCATCAAAAAATCTTCCACCAATGTGAATTTCACCCAATACTAGATCCAGGAGTTCCTTTGTCTTCTGATTTGGATTCCAAATTACAAGGTTACGGAGTTGGGCATTTGTAATCGTAAATTCAAAATTGGGGCGGCTATTCAACGACGGTGTTTGAAATCAAATCAAACAGGAATTGAGGTTTTTCGCAATTCTGGTTTATTAGATTTCCCTCCTTAAACATTCATTTGCGACAACTTGTGTGTATTATTTAAACAACTTTTTACGTCTATTATAAAAGTATATGCTCAGGCTATGATTATGGGCCAGGCGTGATCAGTTTATTTATTATGCGTTTTTAATAATTTATAACAACCAATTAATGATAGAAGCTTGATTTTTTAGTGTTTTATCTAAACTGCAATAATAATAATAATAATAAATACTTAAATTTGTTTAATATTATTTTATACTTTTCTCACAACAACCACATATAAGTAGCTTATTTTCATCAATAAATATTCTATATGGCTCTCCTATGAATTATTCATGTATCGTTTTTTATAGCTAAATTGTCTAAAATATTTATTTTCCGGACAATTTTACGCTTGTTACAATAACTTTATATTTTGAAAATTAGGTGCAGTATTATTGCTTAGAAGTATTCAATTATTTGTGATATATGACTATGTACTTGTATTTTATATTATTTGTGATATTTGATTGTGCTAATAATCGTAATAATAAATTCTAACCTTACTCCGTTATTACCTATACTGTTAAAAATTGTAGTACTATAAAAAATTCATCTATAAATATCACTGTAATCGTCAATTATTCCAACTTACAATCGTTGCTTAAATTTTTATTAATTAATTACAATTACATACAATCGCACACATTCAACTAATTTACATATTCTCCAATATCGGAGAATTTTATGAAATATTCTCTTCAGTGATATTGAACTGAATTTTCATAAAACTTTTTATCATAACTGATGAACTTGATCATTTCGTTCAATGACAAGTTCTATTTAAATTATTTAAACTATTTTTATTATCTAAACTATTTATTATTATTTATTATTTATAACTATTTATTATTATTTATAACTATTTATTATTATTTATTATTTATAACTATTTATTATTATTTAAACTATAAAACTAAACTATTTAAATTATTTATGAGTAGTGGTGGACAAATTTTCTTTTAATTCTAATTTACTGTAGTATTAATACATTATATTTGCTACCGTTAGGCAAAATATTCCTGAAATTGTGATATTCCATAGTAGTTAGTAGTTGTAGGATATGTTATTATTAGGGTAGTTTATTAATTTTCCTCATTTCTTTTACAGATGCCTGTCAACTTTACACAATTTAAAAGCTTTCCGGTGGTGCTGCCCATTTAGACATGATCTTCACGTGGAAATAATTACTAGCATAAGAGTATGTTTTTTCTTTATGGTTTTAATTATTACTATAAAAGGCTTGGGCTATTGCAGAGATAAGCCACGCTTTTTCCAATTGTAATATTTTTATATTTTTTGCATAAAATTGTTTAGAAGCATTGATTTCCGATTAGTACTTCACGCTTCCTTAAGGGAAGAACTTTAAATTCCTTGCTTTTCATTCATTAATCTATTTTTAAAGCAGGGTGTGAATTACTAATTATGGGAAAAAGTCATAACCTTTGGCGTCTAAAAAATTACTTATCACGTTGAGCACCGCGTCAGCCATCGGTGGCTGACTCTGGACTTTCCATTTAGGCCGCGTCAACCACCGATGGCTGACACTGAAATTACATTTAGACTGCGTCATTCACCGGTGGCTGGCACTGAAATTACATTTAGGCTGCGTCAACCACCGGTGGCCAGCACTGAAATTACATTGAGGCTGCGTCTGCCACCGCTTGCTGACACTGACCTTTCACATAGACCGCGAAAAACAGCTGGCTGACAGCGTGTAACATGATATAGAACTATAAAATTGACACTCTTTTATGGAATTGCAGAAAATTTATTCAAAATTTACTTAATTATTGTGAATCTTGTTTTAATAAATTCACTTTTGCAGTTTTTTATCCACCAATAATTTTAAACAATTCGGTCTTATATAATTCACCACTTTCTTCTCATAAATGTCATGCTAAACCTTTTAAAGCTAGCAAAATCTTTCTAATAATTGCAATTTTAGTTTATAGTCAATTACAGTTTGGCTAGATGGGCAAGCCATGTAAAATTAGGGTGGCGTTTAACGTGTTAAGCAAACTAAAATATGGCGCATAGATATTGTATAGTTTTTTTACTTAACATCTAATATATGTATAAGCCAGAGATGCCAACTTGCTCCGGACAGCAAATATATATTTCAAATTGGTAGTTTATCAATTGTGATTCTTGGTTTAATAAATTCAATTTAGTAGATTTTTATCCACCACTATTTTTAAATAATGCGTAAGCTTATATATTTCACCACTTCGAAGTACTAGTGTTAAGCTATGTCTCTTAAAAATCAAGCAAACATAGTCAAATATTTGCAAAATTTACTTCGTAGTTACTTACCGTTTTTTTAGTTATTTCGGCCTGTCCTGAGCAGTTGGCATCGCTGTGTTACTAGTAAACATATTTCCTGAAACTACGGAAATTTCGTAGTAGTTGNCACTGGACTTTCCATTTAAGCCGCGTCAACCACCGATGGCTGACACTGAAATTACATTTAGGCTGCGTCATTCACCGGTGGTTGGCACTGAAATTACATTTAGGCTGCGTCAACCACCGGTGGCTAGCACTGAAATTACATTGAGGCTGCGTCTGCCACCGCTTGCTGACACTGACCTTTCACATAGACCGCGAAAAACAGCTGGCTGACAGCGTGTAACATGATATGGAACTATATAATTTACACTCTTTTATGGAATTGCAGAAAATTTATTCAAAATTTACTTAATTATTATGATTCTTGTTTTAATAAATTCACTTTTGTAGATTTTTATCCACCACTATTTTTAAACAATTCGTAGTCTTATATTATTCACCACTTATATTTCATAAATGTTATGCTAAACCTTTTAAAGCTAGCAAAATCTTTCTAATATTTGCAATTTTAGTTTATAGTCAAATACAGTTTGGCCAGACAGGCAAGCCATGTAAAATTATCGTGGCGTTCAACGTGTTAAGCAAACTAAAATATGGCGCATAGATATTGCATAGTTTTTTTTAACTTAACATTTAATATATGCATGATAAGCTATAAATTGCAAAAAAAAATTTTTTTTTTAATCAGTTTTCTGAAATTTTATTTTAGCGTTCATAGCATAAGCAATAGAAAGAAAATTGCTGTAGGCCACATTTCTTGAAATCTATCATGAAATACGTTGTTTTTTGAATTGAACAGCTGTATTTTGTCTATACAGCTTAATGAACTGATAATCGCTGGAAATTTGTAGCATAAAAAACGCTAGAGTGCGACCATAAACTCAGTGGTCTGATAAAGATATTTACCTACTACTATCTTAATGAAATTTCGTAGCTACATTTTTATCCAATTACCTCGATCTGTAAAATTATTGTCAAGCAATGATCTCGAAAAATATCATTTTTATAAATTTTTGTTTTTTAAGAACTATTCTATCTATTTTTTCTAATTTCCTTTTGTTACCACTCTGAATAACTTTTGATCATTCTTAATCGTTCGAAGGGGAAACCTCAAATATGCTAATTTTTGAGTGCAGCGATATTTAAAGTTACGAAACCGGCACACAAAAACGTACTTTCTCTAAATTACAACAAATTTTTTTTTTAGTGGAATCAGATTTTTGACATCCAAAATATAGGGGATAGCCGCAATCTAGGAAGCATGGTCCGAGTATTTTGGTCACTCTAAAGTTTAAACCCCTTAATGTTAATTTTGTTTTTTGGGTATTTCGCTATATCTGGAGAACTTTTTAAGTTCATTGAAAACATTTTACACACTGGAAAATTATAAAATTCGTTAATCCAAAGATAATACCTTGTAAAAAATAGCTTTCAGTTAATATTTATATTTGTTTATTATTTTATTTAAGAATGGTTGAAAAATTTTGAATTGTAAGGTATACAATTTTTGCATCCTTTTAAATAATGTTATTTTGTATAGCAAAATACAAAATCTGAGCAAGATTGGTTGAATAATTCCTGAGAAATTGAATTTCAAAAAAGTCAGATACTTCAAATTCGATTATATTATGATTATGTTATAATAACAGTTATGTGCCGCTTAGAAAACGCGTGGTTAAAAGTCACATTGTCTCCAGCCATATAGATTTACAAAGTAGAATTTTATCAATACTTATTAATCTTTTGTATCGATCCACTTACATTAATAATAATCATATAAATTAACAAAGTAGAGTTTTATCGATTTAACCACTTACATTAATATAATTATCCTAAGGTTTATATCAGTACATAAGGATAAGTATTATTTGGAAAATATTCCACTTAGAAAAAGTGTGGCTAAAAATAATTGCCCCCATAATAATAAACCGTAATTAACATAACAGAAATTTCTCGATTTAACTACTTGCATTAATATTATTCTTCTAAAGGTCTTTATCAGTTTTAAGTGTTTCTTTTAAGTGTTTATCAGTTATAATTAAAATGTTGTAACTATTTCAGAAAGGAACTCTTGATTGGTTTAATGTTCAAGTTGCAAATGCGGAAGCTTTACAGAGAAAAGTAAGTGTCGTTTATAAAATTTTCCTGAATTGAAAATGGAGTCAATAAATGTGAAACATATTTATCGATTAATCGCCTAGTTTTGCACTAAAACGGTGCTTTCTTTCGTTTGTTTTCTTTGTTCTGTCTATATTTAAAAAAAGATCTATTCCTATTTTCCATTCACAATTTTTGTTATAAATATATTATGGTGGGAAAAAAAATTCTGAAAATTTTTTTTTTATTTGTTGAAAAAGTTTTTTCTTCTGGATTTAAATGTGCTAAATTTGAACGCATTGTAGCACGTATAATGAATATAAATTGCTCTGAATAAAATCTCTGAATATGCGAATATTTTATAACAATATATAAAGAATACTTTGATTTTTCTGATTACCCACAATTTTATCTTGAAATTGGAGGGATATGTTCTTTTCGCACCGAAACATGTTTTGTTTCACTTAAGTTTTCAAATACAAAATTCAACTGTAATTAAACCGTAAACTGAGCTTAGTTCACATATTATAAACATTAAAACTGTATCGCAAAAGTAATAATTTTAAAACGCACTTTAATTTTTAATGACCATGCGCATTTCTTTTTTGCTATTTCTCTTTATTTTAAAATTCATTTCATATTTTATTTTATTTTTCTTTAAAAAAAACTGAAACGAGCATTGTAATCCGGTTTTTCGAATCCCCAACGTTGCATTTTTTTCAAAAAATTGAAGACTGGTAATTTAATTAGTAAAATTTATTTCGTATAATTTACTTAAATTAATAATAATAATGAAAATAAAACGAAGCATCTTACTCTAAACTATGTGTGACTTTAGTTTTGGATGCTGGTTGATGGTCAGCGTGGGGAAACACTTGATGGAGCTTTCAATAGTGTAGTTATATATGTAATTAATATTATTACAAATAAGGTAATTATAATATTTTTTTAAACTGAAACGGTAGGAGACATTAGAAATTACTTTAAATTAATCTAACTCAAAGTAATTAATGCGAAATGTTCGGAGCTGTCAACTACTACGGTTTTTGGAAAATATTTTATACAATGNTTTGGATGCTGCTTGATGGTCAGCGTGGGGAAACACTTGATGGAGCTTTCAATATTGTAGTTATATATGTAATTAATATTATTACAAATAAGGTAATTATAACATTTTTTTTAACTGAAACGGTAGGAGACATTAGAAATTACTTTAAATTAATCTAACTCAAAGTAATTAATGCGAAATGTTCGGAGCTGTCAACTACTACGGTTTTTGGAAAATATTTTATACAATGAAAGACAATTAAAACCTAAATTCAGAATTTTTGGAAATTTTGCCAACATTAAATTAAATGTATACATTTAATTGATGTACACTTCATCATTGTATATCACTTTTTTGTACTTTATATCAAATTTTCAAACCAAAGATTAATGCATTTAAGCATAAACTACCACAAGCTTGATTGATTGATTGATATGAGTGGAATCTCGGTGTTAAGCGCGAAGCGCTTCTAACCGATTCATCTATACTGTTTTGGCATTTAGTCCAGAGGTCATATACAGTTCATAGTTCTAAGTTAGGATCAGATAATAAGTCCATGATGAGGTGAGGCATGAGTTGATTCAGTAGTACATCAGTTGTATGGGGAATTCCCCTGGATTAAAGTTGTGAGAAGATGCAGTACGTCTTGGTCCTTCAGCAAGTCTTTAAGTTCACTGATGAGGCTAACAAGTCTGTGGGCTGTAGAAGTAGTCGTGTCCTTGGTCGTTTTTCTCTTTCGACTGGGACGGGCCTCGCACCCAGTGAAATTTGAGGTGTGGTTTTGCATGCAGTTGCAGCATTTAGCTGGGGAGTCTCGGCTCTTTCTGCACTGGAATGAATAGTGCCCTTCGGCACATTTCATGCATCTTGGGCTGGAGGAGCAGGAACGTTGGGTGTGGCCGAAACTCTGACATCGAAAACACTGCAGCGGCCGCCGGCCGCCGTGGTATTTCTCTATGCTGATCGGGATCTGCTTGATGCTCTCAATATGGTAGATCATCTCGTGATTGGCTAGCATTGGCATAACGATGAGGTACAGGGGGAGGGGCCTAAAGGCTTCACCCACTTTCTTCTTAAACTGGACTATTTTCAGGATTTCAATGTTCCGCTTCCCTAATTCAAGGGATATTTCATCTGTACTAAAATCATCAGGAAGGCCACGGATGAGGACTTTAGCATTTTTAACTGGCTGAGCTTTTTCTACTGAAGTGGAAGGCTCTGTGGCTTTGTTGGTAGTCTCCTCCGTAGGTTCTGATGCAGTAATAGGGGTGGGCTCCGGCATGAAAAGAGATTCCGGAGGAGTGCAGCTTTTCTGGGTCATGGATGGGTCAACATTTTCTGTAGCTGAGGCAGACTTTTTCTTCCTCTTCTTTCTCTTTTTAGCTGGTGGCTCTTTGTTGTTTCTATTTTGGATCTCAGGTTCAGAGGCTGATGTCTCTTCGTCTATATCCATATTCAAATCTTTACTAGAAGGAGTTGTGATATTATTCGGAACACTGTGCTCGGAAACGGGCTCAGTCTTTATTTCATTAGTAACACTACTTTCTGGGATGGTCACAGGGATTTCCGCTTTCTCAGTGATAGTTGTCTCCATTGTAGTTGAGGCAGTTGGCTTCTTTTGACTCGACTCAACAGTTTGAATTGCAGACACCGCTGCGTTAAAGAGTTCGTTGTAATATCTACTTTGTGTTGAGGTAGAAATCTCTCCAATGGAATCTCGCAGCTTACGAAGTTCCACGATATCAGTAGTTTGTTCTAGAAGAAACTTTGAGTAAAGTGCGTAGTTCATAGATCTGGCCGGTATAAACCTTTTGACAATCGAAGATGTCTCATATAAGTCTGATGCTGGCATGCGGCCGGAAGGGAAAACTTTTCCGCCGCGGGCAGTTCGGTGATACGGCATAATTGCGGAGCAGAGAAAAACACGTCTTGTCTCTAGCAAGGCTTGAGCTGGTCCCTCCTCGGTACACTCCACTCTTATCTACCACAAGCTTAACATCAAGCATTCAGATATATGTTTGATTTAATCATTTATTGTGATAGTTAAAATCTTTTTAATTAATTTAATGAAATTTACAAATCTAAAAAGAGAAACGCTTAAGTATTGCTATCACTTCAAATTTAAAAATAAAATCTGTCCGAAAGTCCGGAAGAATAGTTAACTGTGGATGTAACTCAAGCAAGATGTAAAAATGTTTTCCTTTTTAGTTTACATTTTACTACCAATACGGTAAATCATTTTTGAAATGGGCAAAAGTTGGCAGGTATGCTAATACTTTGCACATTCACAGCAGCGCTTTAATAAAATCTGCAAAACCAAAGTTTAATTTTTTACCAGGTTTTTTTTAAAATTCACTCGAGTAAATCAATAAGTTTCCCCACTTCTGTGTTACATAGGGAGTGGTAGAAGAAAAGTGATAATACATTTCAGTTTGTGATCACATGTTTTTTGTCTTAAGTTTATTTTTCAAAAGAGCAGACAAGTACATATCTATGAATATAAACCTATACAATTTTTATAAGCTCGTGCATTCAGGCAAAAAATAAACTAATCTGAAAAAAAATAACTTCGAAACCATTTTTTGAAAATGCACATTTCGAGAAAAATCTGTAGCTTTCCGAGCAAAATTTGCTTCAGATTTGAAATCCACATACCCGGAACAGTTATGATCTTGTATAATTGCAATAAAATATTTATAATAAAAGCTTAGGGTAGGGTTATATATATTACTTAATTCTCTCCGTTTTAGATTCATCATTAAATATTGGTAATTAACTATTTAAATTTTTTCTTGATTTTAAAAAGAAAATCAAAACTATTTTAAAATTTATATTAGCAATGCTATGATTCAGACAATGAAGTTAAAATAGCACGCGTTTTCATTCATAGTAGCAGCATATTTTTGACTAGTAAAATTTAGGAAATTACGTGTTTTATTACTGCAGTTAACTGATCGTGTCAAACTTACCGTGAAAGCTTAAAATTAACTATAAAAACTCTTTTCCTTCTACCTTAATTTTACTATCACTATACCTAACTTTTTCAATGATTGCTTCCCCTGTAACTCTCAGTCCATAAAATACTGCTAACGAAGAACCTTTTCCTTACACATACTTAAACGAGGATCAAGAGGATTCCTGTACTTCAAATACTGGGAAAATGTCATAAACTTTAATTGCTACCACGACTGCACTAGCCATTAACAAACTTGCTTTTACACCTGAAGCCATTAAATGCGTCCGTAAAACCACATGGTTCATTTTGTTCATTCAGTTTAAACTGATCTCTTCAATGAGGAAGGGATGCATTGGCAGATTTTATAAGAAATTATCCTGTTCTTTCGCTTTATAACATGAATGGGAATAAATTATGTTTTTTGGGATACATTTTAAATTTATCTTGCCTATAGATATGATGATTTGCAAATAATTTGATTAAGTATAACAATTTACATTATAATGTATTTAATGAAATTTTAAAATAATTTAAATTGTTTAGCTCTTAACCCTTTCGCGCCGACTGTCAAAAATACGTGACAGCATGAAACCGTATCAATCAGGGTAAAAAGATAAAACTGGTAATCAAAGTATTTCTTTAGCAGTTTATTTGTGGGCGGAGTTATAATTGTTTGATGTATTTCATTCACCAATACTTTGTTCAAAATAAAACTATTTAGTTATACTTTGAATTAACATTGATTATATATATGATTAAACTAACAATAATTAAAGTAAAAGCAAAGTAAGTCTGTCCAATTAGCAACGACTACATTTAAGTTACCGTTTTTCATTTAATTACAACTTGATTCTGATTTTGTACGAATGCTTTTCTGAATCACTCATCCCCAAGGGGTTAAGGGTCTATTAACTCCATGTTAACATACCAACATGTCAGCAATTTTACTTTCTATTAAGTAGCAATTTATCTATATTTTTTGTTCATTTTATTCATTAACGTGTATTTCATTGCACGTAGTTGCTAACATTGACACTTTATGGATAAAAGTATTCTAAAAACTATAACTTTGATTTCTTTTTTTAAATAAATTCCTACGGACTTAAAATTTTATATTTAGTGACAACCTTCATTAGAATACATTTTAATAAATGCATGGAAACAGAAAATTCATGAACATTAATTAGTTATTCGTTAAGAATAAAATTCTTCTTCGGGTCTGAAAGGATCCCAAACTAGAAAATTCGAAAAGCGAAGTGTAAATAAATAATAAATATTTATGGATTTATGAATAATATATCTTAAAAGTGTCTTAAGAAAACGAGGACAACAAACTGGGATTTAAAGAAGCCACTTGGAAAATTTCAATATTTATTATAGTTTAAACACTTTCCCTGTTTATTATATTTTTGTACTTTTGTAAGACTCTATAAGACACTGATCCTGTAATCGTGGACGATCGGGGTTTCAAATCTCAGTGGCGGATTGGAGTCGCCACTGAGATTTAAAACCTCGGTGAATCCCACCGAATTTAAATCGATGGATATCAGGTTTTTGGGGAAGCTTGTGAGAAATGCTGACCACATTGCTGCTATCATGCCATTGATTACAAAATTATAGGAATTTGACCAGTGACCCGCAATGCGCTGTTGTAGTAAACAGGGTTCTCGCGAGCCTTGTAAATTTTAAAAAGTGGTAAAGAAAATTAATCGAATGTTGATCATTTAATTTCTGTGTAACCACCACTAAAAATTGCTTTCCAAAGAAAGTATATATGCATAAAACGTCCTGCTTCTAAACCACAAGGGCCGTAAGGCCTCAGACTCCCAGTTCCACTAAAATGAGAGAACGAAGCTTCTAAACCCTTTAACGACAAAGCGGCATATTAACACTTTACCGACCGGTAGCGGTTCGAACATACTATGCCCTTTCACCGCCCGTTCAGCTGCAGATCGTCCGAGACACCGGCTCGGTTTCGGCCTAGACTGACGCGCGGACTTCACCACTAAATATCAAAAATTACAAATATGATATAAAATGCAACGTTAAATCATCAATATACTGGTTACTGTATTAAAAAGTAGGCGTAACTATCTTTCTTTAACTAATCTTACAAAATATTTTGCTACCACTTTATTAGAACTTTTCCAGAAAGCGGAGCAGTTGGCATCCCTGCCTTCATATCGATGAAAAAATCCCGACTTTCCTCGCAGGAAAATCTAGTCGCACCCAGCTGCACGATGAAAAATCCCGACTCTTTTCGCAGGAAAATCTGGTCGCACCCAGCTGCACTCGAGAAAACGACAGCTGAATTTTTTTCAGGGCATGCTGAATTGGTGGAAAACGTAGTCACCACAGATCGGTCAAAAGTCGATTAATCGACGACCGGTCGGTAAGCGCTGGGGAGCAAACGCTGAATAATCTACGGCCGGTCGGTATACGATGAGAACAAAACGTCGATTAATCGACGACCGGTCGGTAAGCGCTGGGGAGCAAACGTCGAATAATCGACGGCCGGTCGGTATACGATGAGAACAAAACGTCGATTAATCGACGACCGGTCGGTAAGCGCTGAGAACAAAACGTCGATTAATCGACGGCCGGTCGGTAAAGTGTTAAAATAAGAAATATATTTTAACCTTAATTTATAACCACTACTAAAATTTTTCGAAGACCTCGGGAACCCTGGCTTAAGCTATACTTTAGAAGACACTATCGTTTAATATAAATATATCTGTTTGCTTAACTATAGGTGTATTTCGCACGCTTCGCCAGTTTAAATGAACCTGCCTTCATGTTCATATTTTTTATATAAAATTCATTGTGAATATAGTTCTTGAGTGTATAGTGAAACATTATTTAATAATTTTATTTACTAATTACAACATTAAATTTTGTCGAATTATTTTTTTTAAATTTGTCTTTTTGTTTTTTTCTAGGAATCTACTTCCAAATGGCCACTGAAGCGCTTGATAGACCTAATAAATGTGCTTAATACAGACGTCTACAAAGGTTACGTCTATTACAATGAAGAATTTGAAAGGTAGTTATATCAGTTGTAAGTTTCATTCTAATTTTAACAGAAGTAGTGAAAGAAAACATAGAGAAAAGATATTTTCCCGTTGTAATGTTTAATATTTTTTCTTTCTTATTACAATCTCTGATGACTTGATTTCAACATTCTCAGACAGTTTTATTGGAAAGAGATTAAAATACAACATAAACATAACAAGTGAGCATAATTCAATTTCTCATTTGTAGTAGCACACTTAGAAAAACTCGTATTGCACATAATTCAATTAAATGTATAACGCTAACGGAAATAAAATCGTTCACTTATCTCAAAGGTACTAGGTAAAAAGATTTTCAAATTGATTTTGTTTGTTTTGTTTGTTTTCTGATAACAAAACCATCTTGGATGAAACCATTTGATTAACGCATACTTTGTTGCAGCTCTAAAAAGAGGCAAACAAATTAACTAACTGAATGCTACTAGTTAAAAAGATTTTATATTAATTTGATTTTTCAACCATCGCTGATGACCAAAACCATCTTTGATGGATCAATTCAATCAACGCATGCTTTGTTGTAGCAATTAAAATGTTAAATGTGGGAACCATTCATTCAACGCACGCTTTGTTGAAGCACTAAAAAATATCAATCAAATTAACAAACTGAATGGTACTAGTGCAAAGGATTTCACATTGATTTGATTTTTTTGACTATCGCTGATGACTAAACCATCTTTGATGGAACCATTTAATCAGAGCGTACTTTGTTGTAGCACTTATAAATGTCAATCAAATTAACAAACTCAATNGTACTAGTGAAAAGGATTTCACATTGATTTGATTTTTTTTACTATCGCTGATGACCGAAACCATCTTTGATGGATCAATTTAATCAACGCATACTTTGTTGTAGCAATTAAAATGTTAAATGTGGGAACCATTCGTGCAACGCACGCTTTGTTGAAGCACTAAAAAATATCAATCAAATTAACAAACTGAATGGTACTAGTGAAAAAGATTTCACATTGATTTGATTTTTTTTACTATCGCTGATGACTAAACCATCTTTGATGGATCAATTTAATCAACGCATACTTTGTTGTAGCAATTAAAATGTTAAATGTGGGAACCATTCGTGCATCGCACGCTTTGTTGAAGCAGTAAAAAATATCAATCAAATTAACAAACTGAATGGTACTAGTGAAAAGGATTTCACATTGATTTGATTTTTTTTTACTATCGCTGATGACTAAACCATCTTTGATGGATCAATTTAATCAGAGCGTACTTTGTTGTAGCACTTATAAATGTCAATCAAATTAACAAACTCAATGGTACTAGTTATCAAAATTTATCATTGATTTGATTTTTTTAACCATCTCTGATGATCAAACCATCTTTGAGGGAACCATTAAATCAACGCATACCTTGTTGTAGCCCTAAAAAGTGCCAATCCAATTAATAAACTCAATGGTACTAGTTAAAAAGATTTCACATTCATTTCATTTTTTTTACTGTCCCTGATGACCAAACCATCTTTGATGGAATAACCTCCAAAGGATATTAAGTAGTAGCACTTATAACGCCTACTTATCTAACAAACTAAAAGGTACTAGTTTAAAAAAAATTCACATTCTTTTTTTCGTGGTGTGAAGAAAGAATATGATTTTTAAAAGAATAATTTATCTATTAGGCATTTGAAACTTCATTATACATTTCGCGATGAACATTCGACCCATTTAATAGATTCGAAGCTACATAGTAAGTAAAAAGAAATTGTTAACTTGCACAGAAAGTCTTAAACAACAATTGTAAAAGCTGATTTTTATAGCTTTAAGGTATAAAAGTACTAAATTGAATAAAACATCTATCCTGCAAAAATTGATTCTCAGTTATTTGTTCACTTTTTTACACAAAGGGCCTTTTAGTAAATATTCATGAATTATTTCAATCCTATAATTTGTAAATATTAGTATCATATTAGTTTGTATTATATAAATTGCAAAATTGTGACATTTTAAATTTTTGTATACTTTGAATTGTGACATTTTTGTATACTGTATATTTTCGAATACTGATATAATTTTATTCGAGGGAATTAAAAGCGTAAAGATTCCAAACACCAAATGATATCACATTCTATTGGAAAATGAAGGATTCTGAAATAAATTATTGGCGTCTAGTTTTGTTGTAATCGTTTTATTGATTGAAATATAACACCTGAAACTTACACAAATTTATCATAGTCGTTTCATGCGTTAATTAATTTCTTTTTATTTTTTTCATATGGAATTTTTAAGTGTCATTTGTTAAAAAAAAAAACTAAATAAAATACAATTGGAGAGTAACATATTACCACAACTGACTTAAAAATATAACTATTTAAGCAATAACCTAAAAATTATGTTTTACTACTTTGCTTTCTTAATGATATTTACCTCGCCTTGCATGAGGCAAATTTGAAATCCCTAAAATTGCCAAAGTAAATGGGGTTAATTGTAATTTTTATGAACAGTGCACCGGAAAAAAACGGACCACTTGTAATAACTTCTCATCTAATGATCGGATATTCACATTCCTGGACTCAATTTTAACCCTCTCGCGCCGACTGTCACAAATACGTGCCAGCATAAATCAGTATCAATCAGGGTAAAAAGATAAAACTGGTAATCAGAGTAATTCTTTAGCGGTTTATTTGTGGACGGAGTTATAATTGTTTGATTTATTTAACTCACCATTACTTTGGTCAAAATAAAACTATTTAGTTGTATTTCTTTCTTTTCTTTCTTTATTTAAGCAAAACTGGGTGCCTAGGCCGCGCAGCGTCCCCTACCCCATTCATCATGAAAATTATATACAGTGAATAAAACATTTTGAATTATGTAACAATGTGGTAACATTATAATAAAGTAACCATGATTAGAAGTATGTACAAACTTGATCGGAGATTTACATTAATTGCCATTGAAAAATGAATACAGCCATGATTAGATGGATATACATGAAATACGAGCTTAATCTGTGATATTTNATTATCTCTCCCGACTCCAGAATCTGACGAGATCAAGATAAGTATCACTCACCTCGTAAAGTTCAGGATAATCAGCATCAATTCGACATAACCGGCATCACAAGGGAGAAGAGAACATCAGTAGAGCATCATCCTTCAAGACTTTGTCTCCGTGTGATCAGGAAGAGACCTATATCAGTTTCGATATAGTTGTATTTTGAAATAACGTTGATTATATATATGATTAAACTAACAATAATTAAAGTGAAAGCAAAGTAAGTCTGTCAAATTAGAAACGACTACATTTAAGTTACCGTTTTTTATTTAATAACATCCTGATCCTGATTTTGTACGAATGCTTTTCTGAATCTCCCGTCCCAAAAGGGAAGGGTGTTCTCAAATGGTGTCTAAATATAATAATTAATAAGTGCAGGTGATATCTTAAGTTACGAAAGCAGACACAAAAACTCACTTTCTCTGAGTGAGCGTACCTTTTTTTTTAAACGGATTCGGGTTTCTTACCTCCAAAATATAATGGGTAGCCGCAATCTGGGAAATATGGCTCCCATAGTTTGAACTCCGTAATGTTAATTTTGTTTTTTGCCAATTTCTCGATATTTCGAGAACATTTTAAGCGAATTGAAATATTTTAGCACAGAACTATAAAATTCGTTTGTCCAAAGAAAATAAATTTAAGTAAATATTTATTATTTTTTACTATTTTATTTAATAATAGTCGAAAAAATTTTGAATTGTAAGGCATAAAATTTTTAATAAAATAAAATGTCTTTATTCAATACATTAAAACTAAGCGTAACACCACACTTAATGGTAAGTCAGATCAAAATTATTATTTTCTTAAGCAAGTACAACATCTATCACCTTACATTCAAAAAACATATTTACAATACTTTTAGATGACAAAATTAGGCAAATTGATTTTATTCAATGTATACTGAGCATGCTGATAACCTATCTATTCCGAGGAAAAATATATATTGCAATCAATATATATTGTAATCAAATATGAATTGCAATTAAATATATATTGACTTCTTCACTGAATTAATGCGTACCAAGGCATATCTTTTACAATTGCTCCATGTTATTCATTTTTTTATATTTTTTTTTACTTGATCATACTATATTTGCCGCAGTATATTTTAAATAAAACACCATTCATATATTTCGAAAATTTAAAAGAAAAAAGCGAAACAAAACAATATACCATCTTGCGTCTTTACCATTTCGTCATATTGTACGAGTAGTGCAGTATGTATTTATACTAGTAGTATTATTTACATGAAAAATTAAGGAGCTTTAAGATAAAAGAGCTTTTAATTTTAAAAACTAAAATCTATAGAGTTTTACCTTTATTTTTAACTTGTCAACTACTCTTTCACTGTAGATACAGCATAACTACTTGAGTGGAAGCAAATATTTTAACGTTGAATTTACTGAAACACACCACTTTGCACGCTTAATATAGTGAACAATAAAAAGAATATAAATTCAAATTACAAGTTTACCTTGTGTATGCGTACGTAAGAAGAACAAAAGTGGCAAGTATAATTCTTTAGCAAATGAAGCTATTTCTATTGAGTTGCAATTAACATTTTCTAGCATGTGAAATCTGTACAATGTCCTTTTGACAAACGTTGTTTGGATTGGTTAGAAAGTTTTAGTAAACCCTCCTCTTTCTACTCGTTGTTTTATCACCTGCAAATATAATTTCAGGACAATGTGGTATGCAGCGTTTTTAATAGTTTATCATGTGTAGTTCATTTAAACAGTGTTTTTGCCGTGTAATGATAAAAACTCATTAATAAGTTTATGAGTTTTTTTTATGAGTTTTAAGTTTTTTTTTAGCATTAAAATATCTTTAGAAGAGAGACGGCTTTAATACGTTCACGCCGGGGTGACCCACCGGTGGGTCACGCTAGATTGTTTCATTTTGGCACCGCACCGGAGTAAAAACTGGTAACAATAAATTTCATTTTTTAGTTTTTTTTTCGGAAATAATAGAAATCCATAACTACCAATTGTTTTTAACGGATGCAATTTTTATATTGAATTGCTTCTTCGCCGTGATAAATTTCCTTACAATGAATTGTTATAGTTGAGAATAGATTAACTCCTCCCGAATATTATCTNATTCTAATTATGTCGTAGGCTAATTCTTTTTCCGACGTGAACGTGCTAAATGGAGGCCGTATTTGAACAGTAGTCTAACTTCACGTGTTGCTACAAATGGAGTTAGTCTGGCTTTCATATACATTGGCTTTCATTTTTGAAACAGAGAACTTCAAAAATCGCGCCAAAAAATATACCATATTAGTTAGAATTAAAGCTTTTGTACCTCAAAACAAATAAAAATGGAGTTCTATCACTTAAAAACCAGGCTCTCAAATATGGTCCGTACATTCTATACTATAATTTTTACTTTGACCTCAGCAGGGGTCTGCTTAGAAGAAATTTGAGTCCGAAAACGAACCCTTCGCAAAATATCTTTTCATAAAAACGAACCCTTCACAAAATAATTTTTCTTTTCCCTTCACAAATTTGTTTATCTTCATTATTGTTTTGTTAATCAAATAAACCCTTCCCGGGGGGGGGGGAGAGAAAGACAGATGTAAACGAACTTTGTCTTCGGCCGACGCTTCTTCCTTTATTCGTCCGAAATGAATATTCTGCCTTCAGCAGTATAGGCTAAATACCAAATATTTGTATGTTGCATCTCTAATTTAGTAGCAGCAATTGCTGTTTATCTTTTAAAATTAATTAATTTTTTTATTATAATTTTACAGTGTTGAGCATAATCTTGTATCTTTTTACAATTTAAAAACTCATTGAAAAAGTTTTTTGCAATAACAGGACCCTATTTGCACAAATTCACAAAAGCAGGACCCTGGTTGAAAGAATGTAACTTAACGATTATTTTATATTCACAAATTACGAGTAATTTTTTCCCATTTTTACAAAAACGGACCTTTTACAAAATGTCCGGATAGACCCCTGCTAAGGCTGTACAAAACGTTTTGTCAACCATATTTGCCAAATTAATTATTTCATAAAAACAATTCTATATAAAAGCATAAATAATTATATAACAACATAACAGCAACATACAACAACAACAACATAATAAACATATTATAGCGATGTTGAAATACGTATCATTAAGCTGATTTAAATAAGTTTATTAGCAAATAGAAAAATGGAAAATTTATTAACAAATAGAAAATTTATTAACATGTACAGATCTGAATTTTTATTTTAATTTGACAAATTTGCTCGAAGAATGTTTTGACCTACAATAATATTCACAGTAGTTAATGTTGTTCTACGATTGAGAAAGCTTTTCCTTTTTCACGTTAACGCATATCCAGGTGAAAAAAATTCGTCATTTCACGGATTATCAGCAGCAGCTAAATAACAATAATTTGTAACCTAAATGTAGCAGTAAATTATTATGTCCTAAAAAAATGACTGAGCAAAATACGAGGTTTTACGTTATGAATTGAATTTACTCAAGTTAACATTTTTTTATGCATAAGTTCGTGTCATTTGGAATATTATATAAATATTATAAATGAAATACGTTATGTAACGATGCATAACTAAAACCTCTATTTGTTTTGTATTCTGGATTGAAATAATAACATACAATGAATTAATAGGTTTTACTTTTTCTCAAAATGAGCCTTATCTAAGTACATTTAATTATTTAGAATGATTAGTCAAAATATATTTAGATATGTAGTTACAGTTTTTGGAGAAAGATTATGAAGAGTAAAATATGAGAAAGGTTTTTTTTTCTAATTTAACCTAAACTTATTTTTTTATAAATGCTTTTATCTATCTTTAATTTTAGGTTAAAGAAAGTTAGTTATGTAATTCTAATTCTTTTTGTTTCAGTATTGCTGGTGTATCGTATTCAATAGTTGTTTATAAGCAATTAGAAAAAATGGTATGTATATAATTATTTATTTCCGCAATTTTATGTATAAAAAATGTACTTTTAAATGTAGTTTTTCCTACTCACCATTTCTTTAATTCAAAATGGGGTCAGATCAGATGATTGAAAAAAAAATGGTTTAGCAGAGGCACTACGGATTCTTCGTATTTTCGGAAAATATTATTTTCTAGCTGTAGCAAGAGTAATGTATTCATATTTTAATAAATTAAAATTAGAATAATTTTGTAGTTCCCTGAACACAACTAATTTAAACGGATAAATGTATGGTCGCACGATTAAATTTTTATAGCCCATAAGCCAGTAAAAGAGAATATATCACCAACGATGGTAATTTCGTAGTAGTTTAGGGTGAGCCACTTTCTGGAGAATTTGAAAAGGTAGCAGCAGATGTTTTAAGTAGTTTTAATTATGTTTTATGTTATGTAATTTAACGTTACTTTATAGCTCAGTTCATAAAGTTTTAGCGTGCAAAAATATTTTTCAGTAAATCATAAAAAAAAAAAAATTTTAATTATGAATTAGATCGTGTAGTGTTTTTTCGTGCTGTGTATAACTAGAGTAAACATAATTTATATTTGATAATCGTTGAACCAAAATTGAGTTTACGAATACCAACTTCATTACCTTTTAATTTTGAACCTAATCTAGAAGACGAGAAAATCCTGGATCAAGTATAGGGAGAAATTTATCTTCGCTGAGGAATTTTTAATGGGACTAACCCACATTTGCGTTACATGGAGAGAGAAAAAACGAAAACCTCCATCGGGTAGCTTGACGGCAAAGGGATTCTAACCACTAAGGATCCGTCTACCACTGAGGATATTTCACGTCAGCCCTATGCTCGGCTCGAGCCGGATGTAGAATTCGTATAGACCTGGCATCGCTGGGATTTGAACTCCGGCAACTCTATTAACTATTTCGAGCAATCGCACTAACCCCTGAACCACCACGTCTCCTCAACATAATTTTTAAAATAAATTCTACCACTCAGAAAATATATTACAATTTAGAAACCGTTCTTTGAAAATGAGAAAATATTTGCAGCTCTGTTTAAATACACGCTTTCACACCATATTTAAAAATATATACAAGGCTCAGTATATTAACTACTAAATCTAATCACTTGAATTTATACACGCCTTGGTATTTAAAGAAACATTGTTTCATTCATGAACTGTTAAAAAATATTGTAACTTACCAACCGCTTTTTTTATTTTTAACAGGAATCTGGTCCACAATAACTGGCAATTCTAAGTTAACGAAAAAAAACAAGTTTAAAATTTTGAATCGTAATTACTAGCGTAATTTTACTAGTTCATACTCCAGAGATGCCAACTTGCTCCGGACAGCAAATATATATTTTAAAGTGGTAGTTTATCAATTGTGGTCCTTGGTTTAATAAATTGAATTTAGTAGATTTTTATCCACCGCTATTTTTAAATAATTTGTAGGCTTATATAATTCACCAGTTATGAACAGTAATGTCATGCTCTACTTTTTAAAAAGCAGGCAAAATTAGTCAAATATTTGCAAAATTTACTTTGAAGTTATTTACCGCTTTTTTAATTGTTTTGGCGTGTCCGGACCAGTTGGTATCTTTGATACTCTCGAGACTAATTGGCAAATTTGGCAATCTTTCAAACATAAAACGATTACTCTATAAACGAATTTAATCCTAATTCAATTTTTAAAAATGTCCGTTACCTCTATTTTTTTCTAAAAACTACAGATGTATAGAAAATTATTTGACCACTTAATTTAACTTTCTGAATTTTATTAAAAAGCTGTCAGAGGAGCTTTCAAGGAAACTACAATCAGACACCTGCTATTCGGTTTGTTTATCTTTTTCTAATATTCGATTTACTAACATTGATTACTTTTAAAGTCTTGCATGTTTTATATTATATTTTCTCACTGTAATATTATGTTATTCTATTGAATTTTCATTGTCTTAAGGTAAAAAAAAGTGCAGATTCTTTCTCGTGAAGTATTAGTTTTGAACAGTGAAGGTAATCCACAAAACTTACAATGCAGAATTCAATAAGTGTATTTTCGGATCTAAATAGTTCTACATTTCCTCTACGGGGAAGAATTTCTTAATCAACAATTCTTTGCAATAGCAATAGGAAAAATTCTAATTATGTCGTAGGCTAATTGTCGTAGGCTAATTTAATATGTCGTAGGCTAATTGAAAAATACTGTGCTTTTCAAATGCTACCAAAATTTTGCAGTGCACCAGGTAAAGTAGAAAAGTCTTCAGTATTTTTTAACCTACCTAATATTTTTTAGGTTTGCTACATTCAGCCTTTGTGCCCCTTAGGATAATTTGTCATAAAAAATTCCATAAAATATTTCTATGGAGGTTTTTGCCAATGGAACATTTTTTTATCATACGTCTGTGGTAAATTTTTGCCATACATGTGTGGGAAATGTGTATAGTAAAAATTTACCATCGGTAAAACCACATTGAGATTTCCCATGGTATTTTTTTATGCAGCAAATTTTTGCCATAAGACTATGGTGTGCTATAGCTATTGATTAAATTCTTCAATGGGCTATGGCAACATTTCATCACAGCCGTATGAAAGTCCATCACACGCAACACATTTCCCACACAGGTATGGCAAAAATTTACCATAGACGTATGATAAAAAATTGTTCCATAGGCAAAAACCTCCATAGAAATATTTTATGGAATTTTTTATGACAAATTTTCTTCAGGGGCACAAAGGCTAAATGTAGCAAACCTGAAAAATGTCAGGTAGATTAAAAAATACTGAAGACTTTTTTACTTTACCTGGGGCTTTGCACAAGAATGATTAAACTACAAGAATATTTAAGGTGAGAGATTAAGTTATTGAACCTATGAGAAAAAAGCAATAATTATGTAAGAAAACAAAAAAACTTTCTGGACAATACAAGGATAATTACAAAAATTAATTAGAAAACAATAAAGGTAAACTGAGTTTATGAAAAAAATAAAATGTCATGGACTTACAGATTTGTTGGTTCTCTACTTTTCATTAATCTAAAATCAGTCACAACATCAAAGATTGAACACTAATTTTGTTCTAGATTATCAAGTTGTTTATAAAATAGAATAAGTTCAAAAACTTAGAAAAATGTCGTTTAAACTAGTAGGATTATAATTAATTTCATGAAGTTTAAGAATGAGGATTAATTTCGTGAAATTAAGAATGTTTTCAGGAAGTTCTGAAGTTTCATAAAGTTTAATTTAGTCAGAAATTCGAAAAAAATAATAATATATAAATATTTTATTAAATTAAATAAAAATAAATTAAATAAAAAAACTTTCTGAGTTTTTAGAAAGTTTTGACCTCACGCACATGCATTGTCATCGGCGTAAATTTTAGAAGTTCAAACGCAGTTTTTTGGTGGAAATAATCGAAAATGATTTTAAATAACCATACATTTCTGAAAACTGAGCGAACTTTATTGAAAAGTATTATTGTTTTTGATGGATTGGTTTACTCTCATGGATCAAAACTGAGCTGCATCAATGGAGTTGCAGTTAAACACGGCTTCTTCCTTCTGCAGCCATATTCACTCTGCCATAGGAATGACGCATGAGTATAGTGTTCCTTTATTTTGCCATATGCCTAAATTACTTATCCTAACTTATCCTTACCATATGCCTAACCTTTATTTTGTTATTAGCCTAAATATGCCTAAATTCCCTTTAATCATATCATAAGGCTCTGGTGTGCCGTCGTAAAATATCATACAAATTTTTATGGTTACCATAGGCTTAAGACATCTTGCCATATAAATTTCTATGGTCACCATAGAATACTACAGACGTGCCTGTTGCAAATTTTATCAAGGGACCCTTAAACTTATTTAAAATGTACGAAGGATTACTCAATCTGACAGAATTCGCTTAGGCCTTTCAACAAGTCTTTAAAAAAGAGTATTTGCAATAAAACTCCACTACTCTGAAACACTATTCACAACATCTTCTCTACTCGGTCTTTGAAAAAGTGCCTGAAAGAACTCAGGCTAATTCAACAGGGAATTAATATTTTCTGCTTAGCCGAAAAGTATATTGGCTTATTACAATAAACCTAAAATATATCAAGGTGATTAGAAAATCCTGATTACTTTTTTAATAAGCTAAACGCATTATTTCCAAATGACTGTGGTTGTTTGTAAAGCACCAGATTATTCAATTAGCTTACAACACCAACACAATAATTTAGCTACATATTTGAAATAATTTAAATACATATTTTTACTACTAGATAATTTCAACCTGTGATTTTATGATCTTTTAGGTGGGAGATATTATAGGTTGCAAAATACAGGATGCATGCAGTACTGTAGATGCTGAACCTGATGATAAAATTGATTCTGATTATATGGTGCAAACAACAGCTATGTTTGAATTATATATGGCTCTTCAAGAGTTTATCAAATTCAAAGATAACATACCATCTGAGTAAGAACATATTATCTCATTAATTTGACAATTTTTATTAAATATAATGTCTGCTTAATTTTTGTTTGCTAATCTGATGTTGATTAATCCGTCTATTCTTTGTTTCCTATCGATTTTTCGCAGTCTTGACCTCTACGCATCAATGTATCAATTATTTAAATAAAAAGTAAGACAATATTTTTCCTGCATTTTATAATGAAGTTATGCGCTTAGGCTTATGAATACGATATTTAAGTAATCTAGACAAACTTTATAAGCTGGTGTAGAGTCTTTCAGTAGTAGTTCTACTCTTAATTGATATTTAAATCCTTTGATTTCACAATTTTGAGGATTTGATTTCATAAAAATTAACCAGATAAGACATAAAGGTTGCCCTCCGATGCATAATTATTGCAAAGATTTCCCGATATATTTTAAAAGTACCAAAGTACTTTTTTCTTTCCTTTGCACAGTAGCTGTATTAAAGGCCATTATCATTCATAATTTTTAAATTCACCTCCAACTTTTACATGAGAAGATTTTGCGGCATAGTAGCATCATTTCACTTTTCTAGCTTTGTTAGAGTATTTCCGTATTATCCTCTGCTGTAAATGTCAATGAAGTTTCTCAATGAAATTGAAATTTTTAATCAAATAAAATCATTGAAATTGAAATTTTTTTTTTTCTGCATTTTATTAGTNAGCATAGACTTACAAAATGACTGATAACTAAATAACTAATCCAAATTTTTGAAAAAGAAAAAAAATACTTCTTCATTATGTCAAAACACAATTATGTGCCGAGTTTCGTGCCTGGGCGAGGCTTCTGGGGCAATATATTGTGATTACAGACACACACACACACACACACACAGCTGCTTTTATTATTATGTATAGATAATGTCTGCTTAATTTTTGTTTGCTAGTCTGGTGTTGACTAATCTGTCTATTCTTTGTTTCCTACCGATTTTTCACAGTCTTGACCTCTACGCAGTATTATATATCAATTATTTAAATAAAAAGTAAGGCAATTTTTTTCATGAATTTTATAATGGAAGTTATGCAAGCAAACAAAATGAACAGAAGAAGTTATGGGTTCGATTTTTAAGTAATCTGGGCAAACTTTATGAACTAGTGTCTTTCAGTTGTAGTCGATGTTTCATTGCACAGATCTCCTGATATATTTTAAAAGTACTAAAGTACTTTTTTTTCTTTTGCGCAGTAGCTGTATTGAAAGTCATTATCATTCCAATCAATGTATCATTTTTAAATTCGCCTCCATCTTTTAAATGATAAGGTTTTACGGCATCGAAGCGTCATTTCACTTTTCTAGTTTTGTTAGTGCATTTCCGCATTATCCTCTGCTGTAAATGTCAACGAAGTTTCTCAATGAAATTGAAATTCTTAATTCTTAACAATAATTACATTTATCAATTAACTTATTTTTTTACTTACTTTAACTTACTTTACTTACACTTACTTAGATACTTGTTTTGGTTTCTTTTTTCTTTCTTTTTTTTTTTTTTTTTTTTTTTTTTTTTTTTTTTTTTTTTTTTTTTTTTTTTTNTTGTATATTTTAGTTGTATTTTTAATTCTAAAGCAATTTTCTCCGTATTTTAAGGTGCAAAAAAATTTGCCTTAGGCCTTTTTCCGACGTTTGTACTCGCTGATTTAGTCAATCACAATGCTACTTACCCGAAAACGAAAGCAAAATCTACGAAAATTGAGTAATTCAAATTTTTTTTTTTTATTTCTTCTTTGTCTTTGTAAATTTACCAGCAATTTACCAGTATTTGCATTTATACAGGGTTCCCGTGGGTCTCAAACATTTATAATAGTTGTCGTAAATTTACGCAATACTAGTGGAAATTTCCTCTTTTTTAAGAAACTACTAACATTTAAAGATCTGACTGGCAAGAATTCTCATACAGATATAGTTCCCTTAGTGACGGTATGAGATGTATTAAAATATCGATATCTGTTTCATTTTTGTCTCTACTTTTAACTGCAAAACCTGGGAACCTTGCTTACGTTACATTAAATTCTTTGTAATATATTTATTAATGTATGTATATCATGTTTTTTTTTTATTTAGTGAGAGAAAGAATTTAACATTGGTTAACTATCACCTATGGTTTAAAGATGCAGTTAACCACTGGTTCGTTGTTGCTTCAACTAAATCTCTGATTCGGATTAAAAAAGCTGTTGAGTTAGACAAGGTATACTTTTCGCTGTTTTTATAAGTTCTTGATATATCCTTTTTGTTTAAAATTAACTTACTATAATTAAAAAACGTAGATAAACTCTCCTTTATTATTGTTGAATACTTTCAAATTCGGTAAATACTAACGTATCAAAATTTTAATTTTTCTTTCTTGTGCTTACTTTTGCTCTTGTGTATTGATAGATAAACATAAAGAATTGTTTTTATTTCAATTCTAACATTTTATATTAAAAATAGTAAAACTTGTAAAGTTCCTTTTTGAGAAGAAACGTTGTTAAGTACTTTACGTCCCGTTTTTTTCATAGTTTAATAATATATCATCATGTTTAATGCGTATTAACCCTTTGACGGTCAGGGAAATGAGCAGTTTTCGTTTCATTAATTCGCGCAGTATTACGTGCAAACAGTAGTCGAAAGTGACAGCGGTTTTCCACCGCCGTTCTTCCGAAAATGTCACCCTTCTCTGGCGATGCCAACTTCTCCGTCTTCTGGAATTGTTATAATAATTCATACCTGCCAACTTTTACGCATTTGGCGTAAAATTTTATTTTTATATTTAAAGTGGTAGTAAATATATACTACTTTTTTCTTTAATAAACTTACTTTTTAAATGATTTTGATCACCACTATTCTTAAAAAAAATTAAGCATATATATTAATATGCGTTATTATCCACGGTGGTCAGCTAAAGCCTTTTAATATATAACAAAGTTTTTGCTTACATTTGAAATTTTAATTCTATTCCACTACCACTGAGAAAAAACATAATGGAACGGATCAAAAGTTGGCAGGTATGTAATATACATACCCTCCAACTGCTACGGAATTTCCGTAGTTTCAGAAATCTTCTTTTCAGACGGTAGCAAAATTAATGTCTTAATATTTAAAAAAAAATTTATTTTGGCGTAACTTGTCCACTACTACTTATAAAAGTGCAGGCCATATGGCTAGATTCTTAAGTTCTGATAAAAGTTTTATGAGAGATCCATTTGCTTTAAAAATTTCTACTTTGGTTCGCTACCACTAGAAAGAATTATTTTCAAAATCTTCATAAGTGGGAGGGTATGTAATAAAGTGGTAGTGAATTATGTAGTAAATTTCGTTGGAGAAGGACAGTTACGCCTACTTTTTAATAGAGTAACCAGTAGATGGTTGCTTTGAAGTTGCATTTCATATGTTACTTATAGTTTTTGATATTTAGTGGTGAAAAAATTACCTAAAGGAAAAAATACTAAACTGAAAGTAACTTGACTTTCGCTATCACTAAGAAATACTATTTTACAAAGCGGAGCAAGTTGGCATCTCTGGATGCGGTAGATAGCTCGCCTCACGCGTTTTAAAAATTTCTTAAAGTATTCGTAGTACATAAATAACAGTTTTTACGTACCTTTCGTTTTTAACATAGTCAATGCAGAATAATAATGGCGAACGAGCTCAGCTCGTCAGTGCGCATTGGGGAAAAATTTCACTACGCGAGTAGTGCTCGTTACTAACCATTACGGTCAAAATCTTGCTCCCGAGCGGTATTCGTTTGCGCGCATTATGAGGCACGATTCGATTGCGAGCTGAACTCGTTCATAACCATCAAAGGGTTAAAGCCTTAAATTTTCGCATGTCTGTGATGTGAAACACTTTTATTTTTTTAAAAAAATATGGTTATACGTTTTCCATTTTTCCCATATAGCACTTTAAATATAAAAATATAGTTTCGTAAAAAGGGCAGGTGGGGCATTGTCGCGTTAGAAGAGTTTCTAATTTAAAATGTGACTATATAACTTAATGTGACTATATAACTTAATGTGACTATATAACTTAAATTTGAAAAATTATTCTAAAATGCATAGTGTACTTTCACAGAGGTGACAACTACTACACTTGCAGAAATTTAAGTTATTTTTGAGGTGTCCAGGTGGATTTGAGGTTTATTCGAAGTTGACTTCAAAAACAACCTTAAAAGATCAGCATCATAAGTTGTAAAATCAAGTTGCATGAAGTTGTTTTATTCACAGTTGAGGCTGTTTTGAGGTTGATGGAAATCTGCTTTGGAGGAACCCAGGTTAGGGAGGTTGTTTCTGAGGTGTACGGATTTTTTTCTCTGCACTTCAAGCAAATACGTATATTTGTGGTGTGCGGGATTTCACCCGAGCTAAACAAAGTTATTTCTGAGTTATTTATATATGAAGATGATTTCGTGAGATGCAAATGATCTTGATATTTTGTGAGCTGTAAATGAGGTTGAAATTAAGGTTTATTAAAGAGATTATTTTTAGTGCAAAACATGACCTCATTTTCTACCTCAGGTGTACATTTTTTCATCCGTCAACTTCAAAAACGCCTTTTTTTTTTGTAAGGGTACGATTTCTGCAAAAATTAAATGGAGTGATAAACAATTGAAAACTGAAATTTCGGCGATTTGTAATAATTTTTTTTTAACATTATAAACGCTTCACCATAAGCAAACTAGAGTAATGTGTTGTTTATATAAACTTTTGAATCATTTAATGGTGTAAAAAATAAATTTAAATCAAATTTTTAAAAACAAAGAATTATACATTAAAACTTAAACTTAGCTATCACTAGAAGAAAGTTTTCTGAAAAGCTGAAAAAGTTGGCAGGCCTAATTTCATGTCAAAATATAATTATTAATTTATTTTAATGAACTTGTTTTGACCGAAATGAAATTAAAAATAAAATATATAAGTTTCCAGCTAAGTGATAGTCGACACTAGAAGTTTTTATACCTNAGAACTTAACAAATGCCACATTACGAATCGGAAGTTTAAACATGTGGCGTCATTGATAAACTAAAAAATAAATAAATTCATAAATTAAATTTATTTCGAAAAGACGATTTCTCTGAGTCAATGATTTATTTAATCGCCTTTAAAAGTGAAGGCTGGACATTGATGGGTAAGATAGCCATCACAAGATTTTAATTAGTGATTCTTTAAATCTGATCAAGGAAAAGTAAGCATGTTTTTCTTTCTGTCTTTTATTTTAGCTCAAAACATTATTATTATTATTATTATACATGATTATAACAATATCACAGTAAATAAACATGAGCACTTAAAAAAATTAAAATCTTCCAAAAAAGAACCTCAAGAATTTTTATTATTCACATATTCACATAATTTAGAAATGTGTAATTTCATGAGGTTTGTGTAGACTAGAAAAATGTCATTCTGTATAGGAATAAGCAAGAGCAAATAGAGTGTTTGAAAAATGTTAAAAAAAAGTTAGTTCAAAAACAAAATATAGATTTATCTGGATATGAAACCAAACATCTAAAATATCTATTTTTGTATTTAATACAAGAAGCTAACTTTTAATGCTGAAATTTTTCTATCAGGTTTGTACTACAGGCATATATGTAGTACTTAGACATAGCATTTTTATATCAGGTTTGTACTACAGTCATTTATGTAGTACTTAGACATAACATTTTTATATCAGGTTTGTACTACAGTCATTTATGTAGTACTTAGACATAGTATTTTTATATCAGGTTTGTACTACAGTCATTTATGTAGAACTTAGACATAGCATTTTTTTTATCAGGTTTGTACTACAGTCATTTATGTAGTACTTAGACGCAACATTTTTACATGCAGTTTTTCTTCGGTTTATCAATCGATATTTCCGTTATTTGATTATGGAAAACATCCTTAAGAATGATTAGACGATATGGGAAGACTATCTAACTAAGTAACTGTTAATTCTGTTAGTGTTGTACTATAACTTTTTAAAATTCAAAAGAATTACAAATTACTTTTACAGATTACTCTTTTAAGAACAAATTAATTACAATTTTTTTTAAGTGACTGAGTCGTTAATTATTTTACCTTGCACAAAATTAAGACATTAATTTAAAAGTTCATTGCAAGATAGTGATGAAGTAGTGAATTTAATCAGAGAAAATATTGCATTACCTTGCATAAATTAGGATAGTGATAAAGCGTTAGAAAAAATATTACTTAACTTTGCTTAAAATTAAGATATTAATTTAGAGGTTTATTGCAAAATAAACTGTTAAATTTAATCAGAAGAAATATTACATTACCTCTTACAGGAAATTAGGACATTCATTTATGGATTCACTGTAAGATAGAGATAGAATGTTAGTTTTTATAGTCGAAAATAATATATTACTTTGCTAAAATTAAGAAGTTGATTTATGCGTATATTGTGTGTCTAGTACAAAATTTTAAACGACAACGCTTTGATGAAGAATGGCAGAAGCTTTTTCAGAAAACATAAATTTAGTTATTCTTACTTTATTGCGTAAGTTAAAAGATTTTTCGCGTTGTAAAACATTAAAACTGAGCCTTTCAGAGTGTTCGATTTACCTCATTTAACTATTGTCGTCTGTGTTTTGAGATACATGAAAGCGAGAATTTTCATTTACAGCTTTCAGGCTGCTCAGATAAAATTTAAGAAAAACATTAGAGATCCGCAATTAGTGAAAGTTCATATTATAAAACATGCTGTTGTGTTGAAGTTAGTGAATGTAGAAGTTAACGCCCACTTCCGTTTAATTTTAAGCAGTTGTAATCTGTAGATCATAGAGATCTATTCTGCAATGAATCGTGTGGTTAGTGTTTTGCAAAGAAAAATTCATTTTGAGTTTTTGCTAAAGCTGCCTTTAACAATATAATTACATGATGAAAACCTATTTAAAGGCATGCCATTAGCATAGTGAATTATGGTATTCTTATTTAATGTAATTTCGTGTTATACTTTAGTTCTGTGTAATGATATTTCTGTGCTAGCTAATTTTGAGTTTTTGTTAAAGCTATCTTTAACAATTTAATTACTCGATGAAAACCTATTTAAAGGCATGCCATTAGCATAGTGAATTGTGGTATTCTTATTTAATGTAATTTCGTGTTATACTTTAGTTCCGCGAAATGATATTTCTGTGCTAACTAATTTTGAGTTTTTGTTAAAGCTGCCTTTAACAATTAAATTGCATGATGAAAACCTATTTAAAGGCATGGCATCAGCATAATGATTTGTGGTATTCTTATTTAGTGTAATTTCGTGCTATACTTTAGTTCTGTGTAATGATATTTCTGTACTAACTAATTTTGAGTTTTTGTTAAAGCTGCCTTTAACAATTTAATTACCTGATGAAAACGTATTTAAAGGCATGCCATTAGCATAGTGAACTGTGGTATTCTTATTTAATGTAATTTCGTGTTACACTTTAGTTCTGTGTAATGATATTTCTGCTCTAACTAATTTTGAGTTTTTGTTAAAGCTGACTTTAACAATTTAATTACATGATGAAAACCTATTTAAAAGCATGCCATTGGCATAGTGAATTGTGGTATTCTTATTTAATGTAATATCGTGCTATATTTTAGTTCTGTGTAATGATATTTCTGTGCTAACTGATTTTGAGTCTTTGTTAAAGCTGCCTTTAACAATTTAATCACATAAGGAAAACCTTTTTAAAGGCATGCCATTGGCATAGTGATTTATGGTATTCTTTTTTAATGGAATTTCGTGTTATACTTTAGCTCTGTGTAATGATATTTCTGTGCTAAATTATAGTTCTTTTTAATTATTATTTAAATATATTTTCGTAAGAAACTATTTATTTAATTCAATTTTATTAAAATGTGTATTTCATTATTGTAAAATGAGTGATATCAAAATGTATAATATTAAAGTTAAAATATGCTTTACATTAAGATGAAAATGCTTATTACATTAATAATAAAATTTGTATAATATTTAATTTTTTTTTTCAGATTGCTTTCATTGACAATTACGTGAAACACAGTACTTCAGCGGTTGATACAGCTACATGCTTTGTACAGGTATAATAATTAATCTTTATTGGCAATAATACTTTTTTTAATCAATAATTAATCTTTATTGGCAATATTATTTTTCTAATTAATAATTAATCTCTATTGGCAATATTATTTTTTTAATTAATAATTAATCTTTATTGGCAATATTATTATCGACAAATCAGAAGGCTTTTTGAATAAATTAAAATAACTTTATAAAAGGTATGGACATGATTATTCATTTAAAAGAATAAAGTTATTCAATTAAGAGAAGTATGAATGATTCATATATTTAAGGAATCAGCATACCAGTGAATTGCTAAATTATTTTTTCTATAAAGCAAAAGATTTGATAACCTATAAATAATGATGTTGCAGTAATTCATTTTATTTTATAATTTCATTTATAATTTTATTTTATTTTAATTAAAAGAGAAAAAGTAAGTACATATATTTAAATTTTATAAAGTCAGTGATATAAAATTATCGACTAAATATGTGTTGGGTAATGCCCTACCACTTTCTTTTATATTTAAAAGAACCTTTTGCATTAGTGTAAAAGGTTCTAATATAATAAAAAAGTTCGGATACCACTTTTCCTTCTTACCCTGATTAGAGCCCCTCTGAAAATGACACTCACCTGGTTCTACCTCCAAGCTCTTCATTTATAATACTAAATTGCAAAATTTAAATATCCTTGAGTAGAATGTTTCAATAAAGACTGTCCGTTTCATCTCTGAGTCATTTTAAAGATCCAGTAAATTCACGAACAAAAAGAAAAAATAAGTTGTACTTTTTTTTAAAATCGAATAAAAAAACATTATAATTGAAATAGTATAACTTTATTGTGCTCGACGTACAAATACTGTGAAATTCCTTATTCACCCGATATAGTATAAATTAGAAATTTCGCGACTGACATTTCTCTGGATTTTTAAAATACACTTTGGCTTTTATAAAATCATTATTATTATCATTACAAATGCTGACACCAGAATTTAAAATTCTTACAGATTAAGGAATTTTGGAGGCAGCTGTCATGGCCTGACCCAGCGGGATCGTTTACGTTTGTTATGAAAGTAATTGAGGTATGTAATTTATATTTAAATTTTTATACTTAAAGCTATTTAAAATCAATATTAACATTTTCAAGTAAACGCTGGTCAGTTGGTTCAAAAGTTTATAGGAAACCCACTTTGTTCCAACTCTGTCGGAGAGGCTTTTAATGTTTTGGCTTAAGTACGAACTATACTGAAAACTTCAGTTTTTAATTGTCGACCACTCTATAAAAACTTTTTGTTTAAAGGTCTAAGTAGGAGTCATGTTGGAAAACTACACATTCTTACGTGCCTTTGAAAAAGACGCTGCAACTGGTTTAAGATGCTGATTGAAAACTCTAAGACATCTGCTTGCTTTTTAACTATTTACGCGGTAGAAATATTTTAACAAAAATTTAGTCGATGAAAAGCTAAAGAATTTTTGTCCTCGTATCCATATCCACCATGAAGCTATGAGCTTTATGTTTACATTTTTCACTATTGAAAGTGTCCCGCAGTGGACTGATCGTAAAGACACGGTTCCCAGCAGATTACCGAAGTCAATCATCACTGACTGCTATCAGTGGGTGGGTGGATGACCACTTGGATTAGTCTGAGTAGGGCCCGAGGATGTGGTATTGGTCCCTCGACTTCGCGTGCAGGTCGTCAAGCTACCGAAGCGGGGGTGCCATCTCATATGCCGAGGATCAAAATTGCGATGGCATGTCTTCGGATCATCCTCAGGGATGCTTCCCAGACTGTCGCCAATAGCCCATTGTGCAGATCTAATGCGCTGTAAATGGACTACTACTACTACTACATCCCTATTAAAAGCAAGGGGCTGCCAACTAGTGCAAGTTTTGATAAATATTTTGTAGGATTAAAGACATTTAAAAACTAAAGTGTTTTAAAAATCTTGGTAATATTTCCGTTATTTTAAAAGCCTCACCAAGAGCTAGTTTATTGGAATTACATACATTTGCAGGCTTGTGTGCTCAATTTAGGCTAATAAACCTTTGTCCAATCGAAGGAAGTATAGCACAATGCAGAGAAGGACAGCACGAGATTATATCCAAGGTTACAGATTCGAACCCGATACCTCCACGATTTGTACAGCGTTTGGTGGGACATACCGCTCGGCCAGGGAGGCCCCCACCTGTTGGTACAAGGCGTCATTTCATATAAAGTTTTGTATCCTATTCATTTAGTCCCGCAGTGTACTGATCGTTAAGACACGGTTCCCAGCAGATCACCGAAGTCAAGCTTCACTGACTGCGATCAATGTGCGGGAGGGTGACCACTTGGATCATTCTGCGAAGGTACCGAGGGTGTGCGGTATTGGTCCTCGTTAAACTCTTCTACCGTAAAGTGCTCGACTTCGCGTGCAGGTCGTCGGGCTACCGAAGCGGGGGTGCCATCCCCTCCGCAGAGGATCAGAATTGTGATGGCATGTCTTCGGATCATCCTCAGGGATGTTTCCCAGACCATCGCCAATAGCCCATTGTGCAGCTCTAGTGCGACGTAAATGAACCACAACCACAACAACAAGTCATTTTCATTTAGTGGCTAGTGACATTTCACATTTGCAAAACAAAAAATCATACATTAAAACACAAACTTAGCTATCACTGGAAGAAATTTTTTTCCAAAAGCGTTGAAAGTTAGCAGCCCTGTTGAAAGTTATTGATTACAAGCCGGGTAGTTTAGGACAAAAAGGAACTATTACAATTTAATTGCATCATATTACTGTTGAAATAAGTGGGATAGTTTTCATCCCACCTGCCTGAAGTAGTTAAGACGTGCAGTTAGTCCTAATAATGGGTGACAACGCGCAGTCACACAGTGATCATTAAGCTAAATATTTCAGGAAAGTAAGGATATTTATGTCATGGCTTGGCTTGGCAGTTCTGTAAACATCAACCCTATATGGAGGTGTTTAAGTAACTAAAGAAAGTTTAAGTAGCCTCCTAAATACGCAAATGGCTTTAAAAAACCTTCATTGCTTTTTTGAAATTACGTACATTTGCGGGCTTATGTGCTCAATTCAGGCTTATAAATTTTTATCAAGTACAAGAGCAGATCGAACAATTCAGAGAAGGACATCGAGCAGAATACATCCAGGGTTGCGGCGGGATTCGAGCCCGCCACCTCCACGCGTCGAACAGCGCTTAGCGGGAGATAACGCCCCGTTGAAAAACCTAGTCTTAGTGTTTTGATTTTATTGGGCACCTTGGCCGCGAAGAGACCCCTATCCCATTCATCTGGAATTTTAACACTGTTTTGGTAGAGCATTGAGGTAAGCAGGCAATGGAGTTGCTTTTATGAATGTTTCAAGCACTTTGCTTGAATACGAGGGTTGCTATTTATATTTCTGGCCTAATAATGAAAAAACAAATATGTAGGATCGAAATTGGTTTTATTGTTTTTCAAAATATTCTCCATGATGATCAATACACTTTTGCATGCGTTTGAACCAATTTTCAAAGCACTTTTTCCAGTCCGATTGAGGTAACTCCAAAACATGCGTTTTGAATGCATCAACCGCTTCTTCGGGGGTCGAAAATCGTTGTCCACGTAATTTATTTTTGATGTGTGGGAATAAGAAGAAGTCATTGGGTGCCAAATCAGGGCTGTACGGCGGATGACCCATCAGTTCGATCTTTCGCTCCGTCAGAAATGCCTTTGTTTGAGTCGATGTGTGAGAGCTCGCATTGTCATGATGAAGAATGATTCGCCTGTTCTTCTGCTTTTTTCGAATTTCTCCGATGACTTCTGGCAAACAAATGGTCGTGTACCATTCAGAATTGACCGTCCTGCGTTGCTCTAACGCCACTGTTGCCACATGACCGTTAATGCCGAAGAAACAGGCAATCATTTGTTTCGATGTGCTTCTTCCTCGAACAACTTTTGTTGGTTTTGCCTCGTCTTGGAAGACCCATACAGTTGATTGCTGTTTTGTTTCCGGCTCATATGCATAGATCCATGATTCGTCACCTGTGTAGATGTTATACACAGCCTTTGATGTACCTTGAACGTATTTTTCCAACATTTCCTTGCACCAATCGACACGAGCCTTTTTTTGAGCGTTTGTCAGATTATGCGGGATCCAACGCGAACAAATTTTTTTTACGCTCAAATGTTCATGCAATATTTTATTGATGCTAGTCATACTAGTGTCCAAAGACGCCTCTATCTCACGGTATGTTACATGACGCTCTTGCTTTATCAGTTCACGCACAGCATCGATCTTTTCTGGCACAACAACGGATTTTGGACGACCTGCACGGGATTCGTCCTGGATCGAACATCGACCACGATTAAATTCGTTATACCAATTTTTTACAGCGCTGTAGGATGGCGCTTTATCGCTGAGTAAAGAATTAAGTTCATAGAAGCACTCTTGTCTTGACAATCCACGTCGAAAGCTATGAAAAATAATGGCACGAAAATGTTCACGATTCAATTCCATTTTTTGAAAGAGAAGAACTTTTCAATTTACTGTCAACAACACAAATGAAGCTATAATGGTAAATCGTCTGCTGAATTTATGTTTAAAAATATCAAACTTTCGATTAAAATCGTCTGCGGTCGCCTAGCAACACTTACTGTTGCCAAGGCCAGAAATATAAATAGCAACCCTCGTAACTAAAAAGGAATCAAAAAATAAAAAGGAGCTGCTTGCTCTAAACTGAGTTTGCTTGATTTTGGAGTTGTTCAGAATTGTATCAGCATGAGGAAACGTTTTTTTTTTTCAGAAAGGTTGATGAAATTATTTGTTTTGATAGTTATGATGAGTCGGAGGGGAAATGTGCAGCTATTGGTCTCTAGTTCTTGTCTTTGATATAATTTTTAAATTTAAAGATTTCATTAAAATTTGCTGTTTTACATTCTATGACTTTATCGAAAAGATCTGCGTTTAGCTTGCATATATGCTGTGATAGAGGTGGTATTTTGAGGTCTGCATGTATATTGGTATTCCGGATGAACTATCTTGCACAGGCTATTTTTCTAAGGATCTTGTTTTGTCACTGGTTTAATTTTTTCAGTAGATATCCGTTGAAAAACAGCTTGATGAGTGGGTGAACATATTTTTTTTAAAAAATTAAGACTGGTAATTAAACTTAAAAAAATCTTACTATTTACTTAAATGAAACAAGAAATAGTCGCCCACTGTAATATATAATTCTAATTCCGTGGCTTCCAACTATTACGATCTTTAACAAAGAATTTTCATAGTGGTAATAGGTTATTAATTTATATAGGAAGTATTTTCTAAAAGTAAAAGCTATTTTGCCACCACTTAAATAATCGTAATTAATTTATAATTTTTAAATACAGAAACCACCAACTGGAACAGACAAACACAACTATAGAGCAAGCTGCTCATTTTATTTTTTTATTCCTTTTTAGTTATTCAAGCAAAGTGCACTTCCTGCTTACCTCAATGCTCAACCAAAACAGTGTTAAAATTCCAGATGAATGGGAAAGGGGTCGCTTAGCGGCCCAGGTGCCCAATAAAATCAAAACACTAGGACTAGGACCAACTGGAACATTTAACAGACCGTATATAACTCCCTTGAACCTGGGGAAAGAACCAATGGTGATCTTTGGGATCGGGAGTTGTATACATCCCCACTATATTTTAGGATTTTTCACTATTAGTATAAACTGATTTGCAGCTTCCGCCTCCGAGTTTTAGCTCGCCAATCTACTCATCTCTACCATCGACAACATTACAGGCGCCCTCGGGCACAAGCTCATATGAAGGAGTCAATTGTCCTCTTCGTGGACTGGCACTCTGTTAGAAACACCAGTTCAAGTTCAAACCAACTGGAACATAAATTATTTTAACTAATAATAATTTTTTTATAAAATTAGTTACGATTATATTTCAGGGTTTTATGTGTCTAACTGATCTTAACCACACAAAAAAATTGAGTTATGCCAAACTGGCCCCTTCTAACTTTCTAGGTATGCATCAATGTTTCGTCTTTACAATGTCAATCACTATTCAACGTTGCTTCAAACTTTTTGCCAAATCACTGGAAACACTGTTTTTGCTACATTGTTTCAACTCAATAATTAATAATATTGTGAGAATTTTATTTTATTAATTGAAAGTTTAATAACTTCTATATTTTTCTCTAATTAACTATTGTTTCCTTAATATATTTATAGATTATTTGTGAAGGAACAATTTACTATGCTAAACTGTGTCAGCAAAGACTTCAGAAGACAACAGAGACCGAAGGTCAAACTGAATCCAATGAAAAAGTACTATTTATTTTTTTAGTTTGCATGCATTTTAAATTATCAAATAATACCAAAAAAATAATTATATCTCTTAATTCTTTATAATACTTAATTCTTTATAATCTCTTAATTCTTTATAATACACTCTTAATTCAGTTATAATATTTAAGTGTTTATATTAAAAATTTTATTTGGAGATCAACAGTATCTACTTAAATATTGCTATCTGTGGTAATTTCGTTTGCTTGTTCAATTGAACTTGAACGTATTTTCAGCGAATTTGGTTATTTTTTACATTATAAGAAAATCCTTTTTGGACCTTGTGTCTCGTGTACCGAACATCAATTTTAATCCGTATTAACTTAATTAATAATCATCAGAATCACAAAATTTTAATTTTGTTTGATGAGGAAGACGCTATTGCTTTCTAAAGGGAATATCTTGAAACTATAGAGTGTATTCCAAATGTAGAGAATACCTTGAAGATTTAAAAATATTCCATCTGAAGAGGGGATTAAAGTAATATGACTAATATTAAAGATTTACAGCTATTGAACTTACTTTAAAAAAAATTTCGGACAATCACACTTTCATAAAAATAAAGAGAATTTTAAAATATTCATCTACAACTTATGAAGGATTAGTATTTAATACTAGACCTATATAAATTTGACCTATCGCTGAGGTCAATATACAGCATATTGATTAAATAACAGAGTTCATTCTCTCATTTTTTTTTAACATTGGATAAATTCAGTTCTAAATGTAAGAAGTCAACTTAGATTATTATTCCACTTCAAGGTTGGTTAACTTAACTGGTTTCACTGTAGAAGGAAATATACATAAGATGATTCCACGACAAAGGGACAGTTAGAAACAATAATTCTTCTTATTTTTCATGAATATGAAAAAAATTACATATTAAAAATTTGTACTAAGACATTTCAGATATGTATTTACAAAATATTTTTTGACAAATGTTTTATGACACGTGTGGGGCGAAGCCGTGGAATCACCCTTTTTACTTTTAAATATTTAATTAGATTTTAAATATTTTGTGGGACAAAATAAACATGAGAAATTCCGTGAGCAATTAACACGGTGTTAACAAAAAAACCGTCATTTTTAAGTTATAAGTTTGTTTTTTTTACTGAAATTGAGTACTTGATTGTGATCAGCCCCAGAACGTCCTCTGAAACAGAGCTTTAAAAGAAGTTGCTTGAAAATACAAAACTTTCTTGAAAAAAATGGAATAAGGCGAAACTTATTTTGTTGGAAGAATCAGGTAGTTGCCTTTTTAATAATTTATATTAGTGTTATATGCAAATTAGTTTCAAAAATTTTTTATTTAGTTTGTTAGCAAAAAAGAAAAAATAAATAAATAAGTTAAAATTTTCTAGCTTTGTATAACAATCAACAACATGGAATATGTTCTTCAAACGCTGAGGCCTTTGGAAGAAGAACTTGGAGTTGAACAGATCATCAAGGCCCTTAATGTAAATCAAGGAGGATGCACAGCCAATCAGTGCCGCGAATCAATCTATGATTTAATAAATAAAACTGAAGACGATGTTACTGGAAAAATATTTAACATAATTTGTGGAATGGTTGAAAAGGTAATATATTAAACATTCAGAGAAAAAAACTGGCGGGCGGTTTTGTAAATAATCAGATTTGCAATTATGATAGTTAACCAATCTAATGACATGGGTTCAAAGATAATAACAAAGGAAAATTCAAATATTCAATCATTCGTTTTATACTTAAAACTGTGTTAGTTTACTACTTGGTGCTAATCAGCAATTTTTTTGACAAATTGTGGTAATATAGGAATAAGTAATACATTCTATAGGAAATAAATGCGTATGTAATGTATTCACAACATTTTTATATGTATTTGTATTGTACCTAAGATGATATGCAAGTAATGAGTGTGTTTGACTGTTAGGAGTATCTAATAGAGTTTACAACTTAACCCTTTCGCGCCGACTGTCACAAATATGTGCCAGCATAAAACCGTATCAACCAGGGTAAAAAGATAAAACTGGTAATCAGAGTAATTCTTTAGCAGTTTATTTGTGGGCGGAGTTATAATTGTTTGATTTATTTAATTCACCATTACTTTATTCAAAATAAAGCTATTTAGTTATACTTTGAATTAACATAGATTATATATATGATTAAACTAACAATAATTAAAGTAAAAGCAAAGTAAGTCTGTCAAATTAGAAACGACTACATTTAAGTTACCGTTTTTTATTTAATTACATCCTGATTCTGATTTTGTATGAATGCTTTTCTGAATCACCCGTCCCCAAAGGGTTAATGCTTTTACCAAAAAATTCTCTTTATCATCGCTACGTATAGCAATAATTTAAGAGTAAATGGTGTATTTAACGCTTAAATACAACAATGTATTTCCTACTAATATACCTCGTATTAAACAGTAAAAGTTAAAAAAAAAATTTGTTAATTTAACAATAAATTATATTTATAAGGATCAAGTATGATTATAAGAAATCAGGGAACTCATCTTTTGTTTGCCAACCCCGGAAGTGCTTTTGCAGTTTCTTCTGCAAATCGAGTTAGATTTGCCCGTTTATTGGATACTTATGTGTTTTTGCCCAGCTATGTATGTATTCCGGTACTTTTTTCAAAAATGGAGTTCTTAAAATATGCCTTTCTTTTTTTCTTTTTTTCATTCTTTTTTTCCCTTTATTTTATATGCACACACATTAGTGATTTAGGTAGTAATATAGGTGGTAACTTGCATGAAGTAAATTTACTGCTTGGGCTAACCTTGTCTGAATTTTATTTTTATAAGAATAGGTTTGCATTGTGAATTATTTGCTGTATTTGCATAACATTTATTTGCTTTATTTTTATAGCTACGTCCAGACATGAAGAAATTTGTATTTCATCTTGCATGGGCACCAGAAAAATTAGATGCTGAAAATGTAAGAATTTTTTCAAAATTAATATTCTTAAATCACTTTGAAAAAATATTTTTTTGAATAATTTTAACTGATCTATTCTATGTATTCTCCACTGAAATTTATTTAACTTAATTTCTATTGTATTCAGCGCATTATTCCCAGACTTTGATTTATATTAAGTTATATTACAGTATAGATCTTTGAATATTAGTTGCTCGCACAGAATGAAAGAAAGTAATTTTGGTTGTAAACGCTGACTTTTAAATTATAAATAGTAGTTATATTGTATGTAATTTCTCGCATAAATTTGAGTATTCATTAGATTGTTTATAAATTCACTTAATTTTCTCTTTTTTGCAGGCTATTCGCCCCTTACTTGAAAATTTAGACACGACATTGCGGGCGCTCTATAATAATCTCCTTCAGGCCAACTTCGATCGCCTTCTCGATATGATGTGGACTGTACTAATGCATGAGCTGATGGAAACTACTCAAAGTAACATTGGTGTACGTGGTGAGAAAATCACATTGCAACTATTAAAACTATTTAATTAATTTCAATTATGTTAACCATAATACTTTGAATATAATAAAATCTGTATTACAAGTGGTCACACTAACTTGCGAACAGGTACGCCAAAACTTTTAGTTTATTCAAAGCTATTCCTCTCTTTGTGATTTCAGAATAATACGATAAAACTAATTAACTTGAATCAATGCAGTAAAGCTTTACTCTATTACAGAATACGTTAAATTGTTTTATTAGACTTAACAAGCTAGACATAAAACATCAGACTCTTTTAAGATCAATGCAAACAAAGATTACAATCTTGAAAATCTGAGCCATGATGGCTCAGGGGACAGAGAGATCGCCTTCCAATGAGGAAAACCGGGTTTGAATCCCAGAGATGACTAGTCTATACGAATTCCTCACCCGGCTCGCACCGACCACAGTGATGACGTAAAATATCTTCAGTGGTAAACGGATCATGGGTTAGAGTTCCTTTGCCGTCAAGCTAACCGTGGGCGGTTCTCGTCGTTTTCCTCTCCATGTAATGCAAATGCGGGTTAATTCTATCAAAATGTCCACCATGAAAATGATTTCTCCCAATACTTGAGTTCCCTTGACTTCTGGATTGGGTTCAAAATTACGAGACTAAGGTTGTTGTTGTTGTTAATTTACGTCGCACTAGAGCTGCACAATGGGCTGTTGGCGACGGTCTGGGAAACATCCCGGAGGATGATCCGAAGACATGCCATCACAATTTTGATCCTCTGCGGAAGGGATGGCACCCCCGCTTCGGTAGCCCGACGACCTGCGCGTGAAGTCGAGCACTTTACGGTAGCACAGTTTAACGAGGACCAATACCGCACACCCTCGGTCAATACGCAGACTGATCCAATCGGTCACCCACCCGCACAATGACCGCAGTCAGTGAAGCTTGACTTCGGTGATCTGCTGGGAACCGTGTCTTAACGATCAGGCCACTGCGGGACAAAATGAATAGGATACAAAACTTTATATGAAATGACTCTTTGTACCAACTGGTGGGGGCCTCCTTGACCGAGCGGTGTGTCCCACCAAACGCTGTACAAAGCGTGGAGGTATCGGGTTCGACAAAGGAAGTTCGAGACTAAGGAGTTGAACATTGATAGACGTATACTGAAAATTGGGTCTGCCGTTCAACGACGGCTATAAAAGACTAAATCTTGAAAATTTAGGTTTGACTAGATTTCGAAGGAAGCCCTTCAGTTATACTAATGGGCTGTTGATAGTGGTTATGAATTTCATCTTCGTGGCTAACTGAGGATGATACTTAGGTGTGCAAACTGTGGTATAATCACCCGGTCATCATAGCACACTCCCCAATTTCCCAGCAGTGCGTGTGAAATTTTGGAACTCTTTCTGGAACAGCAAAATTTGATTGTAAATTTTAGTCAGGCAGGACATTTGCAAGTGAGACTATAGACTGAACATTCTAGCTGAAACGGCATACTTTGGCTTTTTTTTTGATATTATTAATTTTACCTTTCGAGAGTTTTGTAACTTCTGCTGAATTATTGCTGCCAGACCGGCTATACTTTAGTGGAATGGTTATGCGGAAGTTTCAAATATTAAAGGTTTATGTACCAGTCGCGTAACTCTGCGTCTTTAAAAGCATAAAGTGTTGTATGAAGCTTCTGCGATCACATAATAATTTAAAAATCGATAGCAAAACTATTTTATTTTCACTCCGTGTTTCAAAGTAATAGCTATATTTGTTATTACCGCAAATATATAAACAATATTACAATTGCATTGCAGGAAAAAAACTTGAAGTTGTAACGATAGCAACTCAATTCAGTAAGATGCTGCTGATCACTTCTTTAAATTGTCAAATTAAAACAGTTGCCCTAATGCAATGCGTGAAAATAAGAGTTAGTAAACTTTAAGAAGTGTAGTCTTCAGACATGGTGCGAAATTCGTTTGCTTCACCTGCAAGGGCTATATTTAGTTCGAAATTTCAGCTATATTCATCATTTACTTTAAATTCGAGCGAGTTATAAATTCACAGCTGCTAATTCTTCATAATTTAGGGGGAAATTCTGTGCTTTTAATGGTATCAAGCTTGAAACTTGCAAGTTTTATTCTCGGCTTAATAAATTAGATTTCAAATTCTATAGCATTTTATTTGATTTCCTAAATTTATTTGGAATTGCTGTTCATTAGTCAACATTAANTTTCTGGAACAGCAAAATTTGATTGTAAATTTTAGTCAGGCAGGACATTTGCAAGTGAGACTATAGACTGAACATTCTAGCTGAAACGGCATACTTTGGCTTTTTTTTTGATATTATTAATTTTACCTTTCGAGAGTTTTGTAACTTCTGCTGAATTATTGCTGCCAGACCGGCTATACTTTAGTGGAATGGTTATGCGGAAGTTTCAAATATTAAAGGTTTATGTACCAGTCGCGTAACTCTGCGTCTTTAAAAGCATAAAGTGTTGTATGAAGCTTCTGCGATCACATAATAATTTAAAAATCGATAGCAAAACTATTTTATTTTCACTCCGTGTTTCAAAGTAATAGCTAAATTTGTTATTACCGCAAATATATAAACAATATTACAATTGCATTGCAGGAAAAAAAACTTGAAGTTGTAACGATAGCAACTCAATTCTGATCACTTCTTTAAATAGTCAAATTAAAAAAAGTTGCCCTAATGCAATGCGTCAAAATAAGAGTTAGTAAACTTTAAGAAGTGTAGTCTTCAGCCATGGTGCGAACTTCGTTTGCGTCACCTGCAAGGGCTATATTTAGTTCGAAATTTCAGCTATATTCATCATTTACTTCAAATTCGAGCGAGTTATAAATTCACAGCTGCTAATTCTTCATAATTTTGGGGGAAATTCTGTGCTTTTAATGGTATCAAGCTTGAAACTTGCAAGTTTTATTCTCGGCTTAATAAATTAGATTTCAAATTCTATAGCATTTTATTTGATTTCCTAAATTTATTTGGAATTGCTGTTCATTAGTCAACATTAACTAATGCAATACATAAATTAGTAAATTTCTGAAGATTTGACTTGATATATGATCTTTTTATTCATTACAGAAAGAGAAACTTGCTTTTTTTGATCGCTTACATTCATCTTTAGCGATTTTAGTAGATTTCTTCCATGGCAGTGGAAAAGGACTTCCTCTAGACTGTATCCAAAATGCTCCCTATCAGGTAAGTAAATCATGCTTCATTTTCCTTTTATTGTTCCTCTTATTGTTGTTTGCTTACATCAGAAAGCCTCCACATGATTTTTTATAAGTAGTCTGCGCAGACTATTTAAAAAGTGAACTAGTGGTGCGCATTAAACCAAATTAGAAGTACTGGATGCTGGATATTGGGGTTATCTCGGCGTTTCAAATTAGAAGTATCTGAGAGAAAGTCATCATATATATTTGAGAATTAAAACTTTGGTGGTAGACAAGTAAATAAGACAACCCAATTATATTCATAAAACTAAAAAAGAAATTAGTCGTATATTTCCTACCACTATATTATTTTAATTAGATTTTCTAGCAAATGGCTCTCTCGTAGACTAGTTATTTTCATATTGGTCTGATCGGACTACCTGTAAAATACCGTGTAGAGGCTTCAGTTAAAGGAGGCGTTGACTAGAGCTGCACAATGGGCTATTGGCGACGGTCTGGGAAACATCCCTGAGGATATCCGAAGACATGCCATCACAATTTTGATCCTCTGCAGAGGGAATGGCACCCCTGCTTCGGTAGTCCAACTACCTGCTCGCGAAGTCAAGCACTTTGGGGTAGAACAGTTTAACGAGAACCAATACCGCACACTTCGTAGACTGATCCAAGTGGTCACCCACCCTCACACTGACCAATGATGCTTGACTTCGGTATTCTACTGGGAACCGTGCCTTAACGATCTGTGGGACTCATTTCTTTTTAATAATTTAAACAATTACGAAAAACACTTTTTTTTCAAACGTTTGAAATTGATAATATTAAAAAATGCATTTTTACCTAATACCTATTTAATTGCAATAAAAAGTACAAAACCATTATAGTGCACAATATGCATGGTGAGTTTTTTAAAGGATGGTTCATTTTACAAAAGAGTAAAAAGAGGGGGTAAAAATGTTTCGCTACACTAATTTGTTTTGCAACGTTGGCATAGTAAAATTTTCCAACATAGAATAATATAAATACTGCACAGCTGCCAACTTGTAAGGTTGTTGGGATCAATGTTAGAAAAAGATAACTAAAACCGGAAAAGGTTAGCTTAAAATCAATCACTCTTGCCAATTCTTAAAAGTTTAATTCTTTAACTAATAGATATGAAATAGAATAATTTCGTTGTTCAAACAACGTTCTAAAATATAAAACAAAATGTATTAAAAATGGCAGTAAAAAGTGCTGAATTATCATCAGTCTAAATCCCATGGCTGCATTAGCGAGTAAAATTAGAAATTTTACAGAAAATAAAAAGAATGCTGGATATTGGGGTTATCTCGGCGTTTGGCGCGAAGCGCCACTAACCGATTCATCGATTCTGTTTTGTTGTATTCTGGGAGGTCCTACATATCTTTGAAGTTGTAGTATGTTGTAACAACAAGTCAAGTCCTTAAAGAAGTAAATCTTTAGTTTTGAAGGGAAAATCATCTTTGGAATGGGGAGATCCCCTTGAGTAGAGTTGTATGATAAAGTTAATAGTATTTGGATAGTATGCAGTCTGAGCATAAAAAGGCGGTAATTGGGCTGAAATTCGAATTATCACGGATTATATCAATATCGAACAATTTATTGAAATCTGATGTGGTGCATGTTTTTGCGTTGCTGTAAAATTTTGTGGTCAATTTAGCTATAAAGCAATTGATATCATCAATGTTTAAGTCTTTTCTGAGTAATCTATTGCTAATCGTCCTTGGGGCGCCAGTCATTGTGCGTAAAAATTTACCTTCGGTTGTAGATAGCTTATTTTTTAGGTTGTTGCTTATAGTAGTGAGGGCTGGGCAAGCATACGTAAGAATTGGTCGAATCGCTTGTATATAGATAGTTCTTTTATTTGCTAGATCAAGCTTTGAATTCTTATGCAGGAGGACTTGGAGCGCAAAAAACGCTCCTCTGGCTCTTTTGATTGTGTCGTTTATGTGAGTACTCCAGCTCAAATTATAGGAGATCGTGACGCCGAGGTATTTAACGTGTTTCACTGGTTTGATCCCAGTATTAAAGAGATAGATGTGGGGAGTATTTTGTTGTTTTTTCTTACTATTTATGATTAAGAATTGACTTTTGTCGGGGTAAATAAAGAGAATTCGATTCAGATCCAAATTTCTAAGTTTTCATAATAAATTTAAAGTGGTAAATATAACTCATTTGCTTCTGAAGAATGTTAATATCAAAGAAATAATATCATTTTTGAATGTTTTTACTAAAAAGAAACATTATTTTTTAAAGAATGTTTGACACAAATGGAACTGTAAATTTTTTCTACTATTATTAATTGAGAAATAAATCCTTAAATTAAGTCAAAAAAGAAACCCAACTGAAAATAATGTGGATTGTACTTGCAGCTTTTTATTACATTTTCCTGATTAAGGACATTTAAATGTATTCATTTATTATCTTAGGATCTCTTTCATATGCTTAAACTTCAAAAGTCAGAAACTCTACACCTAATCGAACTATACATTTTACAGAGATTAGAAGAACAGGTAAATAATAATTTAAAAAAATGCCTGTGTTGTTGTAAATCAGATTTTTCATGAATAACGTCTGACATATACATGAACTATTTCAGCAAAAAGTCGAAAAGCCAACATACGGTATTCTAACAATAAAAACTTCCTATAACGCTGGAGCCGAAAGTTTATACATTGATAGTAAGTAAAAATATGATATTTTATTGAATGAAATCATAATGTTTTGTACTGCATCATTTATTACTGTTGATTAAAATGTATGCATGTAGATTACTGTTGATGATACTGATCTGAATGTTTGATACTCATTACGGGGTCAGCTTATGACACTCCTCAGCTCTGCATGAAATTTATACCTATTCTTAATAAATATTTCTGCTACATATTTATGTTTTAATCTTCTAACTGCAGATAATACAAGATAATTATTTTTTTTATACATGAATTACAACATAATTATCATTTACAACATAATATCATTTATAACACATTGAATTACAACATAATTACAAGATAATTATTATTTTTATACAAGATAATTATCATTTTTATACAAGATAATTATCATTTTTATATATTTTTATCCTCACCTCTGCATGAAATTTATACCTATTCTTAATAAATATTTCTGCTACATATTTATGTTTTAATCTTCTAACTGCAGATAATACAAGATAATTGTTTTTTTTTTATACATGAATTAAAACATAATATCATTTATAACATATCATTGAATTACAACATAATTACAAGATAATTATCATTTTTATACAAGATAATTATCATTTTTATACGAGATAATTATCATTTTTATACATTTTTATCCTCAGATCTGCGTGAAATTTATACCTATTCTTAATAAATATTTCTGCTACATATTTATGCTTTAATCTTCTAACTGCAGATAATACAGGATAATTATCATTTTTAACGTGTGTTCCAAAACTGACAGACGGTTGAAAAATTCCATATTAAATAAAGGGAAGGAGATGGAATTGTATCTGTAGAATTGTAAAATTATCCCCGATTGAAGGAAAATGTAATTCCAATTTTTATTAAATGAATTAGTCATAAATATATCATGTTTCAATTCTGTATACAAATCATGAACTATTTTTGCCATCACATTTAATTTTAAAAATCATCTGCTCCTTTCTATCAGGACACCATAAATTGTCATTTTTAACGGATGTCAATAAAATGACAGATGGTTTGAAAATTCCGTGAAAGAAAAACGGAAGAAGAAAGAATTGTATTTGCAGAATTGTAATTATAAAATTATCCCTAGTTGAAATTAATCCAATTGTGCATAGAATAGTCATAGACATACCATTTTTTTCTTCAACGTGCCAATCATGAACTATTTTTATCATCTAATTTAATTTAAAAAATATGCTTCTTCTTTCTATCAGGACATCATAAACAAATTTTCATTTCTAGTAAATGTCCCATAAATGGTCAACGGTTTGAAAATTCCATGAAAGAAAAACGGAGGAAGAAAGAATTGTATTTTTAGAATTATACCTAGATGAAATAATTTTTCCTTACAATTTCTGTTTGAATTGTTATAAATAGATCATATGAACAATTTTTGCCATCATTTTTAATTTTAAAAATATTATGCAAATGAACAAGAAACAAATAACCCTTGTCTTTTTCCTTTGTGCTTCAAGTGTTTCGTTATTATTGGAGCAAAAGTAAAACTTATAGTTACGACAATTTAATTTTTTTTTATTGTGCTTTAAATAAAACTTTCATAAACCATAAGTATGTTCAGCTTTTATTTTATTTCATAAATATTAATTTTCTTTACAGTTTTAAATGCTAGAGATCTTTTGCCATTGGATCCAACAGGTAAGGCTTAACATTTTATTTATATTTTACATGCATAAATGCCACTTTGTTAGGTTGTTGGAAAAGATTTTGCTAAGTGGCAGTAAAATTAAAAGTAGGAAGATTTTTGAAAATAAGATATCTTACTTTGTCAACACTTATAAACGTAACTGTTTCTTCAGTTATCCCTTTTACACAAGTCTAGATGATTTCAGGTGGAATTTTCTGAGCATTGTATTTTTATATTTGAGTTAAATTAAAATTTTGCTTTCCTTAATTATTTTCGGGTTTATAAATTTAATCAAGAATTACTTCAACAGCTGAATAACAGAGATGCCAACTGCTCCGGAAACGACAAAATAATTAAAAAAAAACGGTAAATAACTGGAAAATAAATTTTGCAAATATTTGACTATTTTTGCTTGCTTTTTAAAATGTATAGCATGGCATAAGTACTATAAAGTGGTGAATTATTTAAGCCTATGAATTACTTAGAAATAGCAGTGGATAAAAATCTACTAAATTGAATTTATTAAACCAAGAATCACAATTTATAAACTACCACTTTGAAATATATATTTGCTGTCCGGAGCAAGTTGGCATCTCTGCAATAATTTTAAAATGTACTTAAATTCATGATCTTGCACTACTGAGGCGGAGTTGTTGTAATATATAAAAATATATATGTCGATAATTGATTATCAAATTTACATTTTACAACCAATCAAAAACAAATTCTGATAAAATGTTGGCATACATGAAATAACCTTCTGAAAACAAATATTTAAGCATTAAAATAAAAAACATTAATTTGGTAGGATTAAAAATAATTTAACACGTTCACGCCGGGGTGACCCACCGGTGGGTCACGCTAGATTGTCTCATCTTGGTTGCGCACCGGAGTAAAAACTGGTAACAATAAATTTAATTTTTTAGTTTTTTCCGGGAATAATAAAAATCCTTAACTACCAATTGCTTTTAACGTATGCAATTTTTATATTGAATTGCTTCTTCGCCGTGATTAATTTCCTTACAGTGAATTGTCATTGTTGAGAATAGATTAACTCCTCCCGAATATTATCTAATATTGAAATAGTTCTTCTACCAGNGGAATGAAATGTTTTACGTACCAGGTTTTTCTCTTTTCCGTCTTGCTATATAAGGCGTCTAGCGTGACCCACCGGTGGGTCACGCTAGATTGCCTTATCTTGGTTGCGCACCGGAGTAAAAACTGGTAACAATAAATTTCATTTTTTAGTTTTTTCCGGGAATAATAAAAATCTTTAACTACCAATTGCTTTTAACGTATGAAATTTTTATATTGAATTGCTTCTTCGCCGTGATAATTTTCCTTACGGTGAATTGTTATTGTTGAGAACAGATTAACTCCTCCCGAATATTATCTAATATTGAAATAGTTCTTCTACCTGTATTTTCTCTTTTCCCGTACCAGTATTTTCAGTTTTCCCGGCATGAACGTGTTAATCATAATTACATAAATTTCAACATTAAATGATGATAGCTTTCTTTTCTACGTCTGGTGTATTCTTTTACACCTTTCAACCTCAAAAACTTCGTTTTTTTTCTAAGGGATGTGTACCTATATATCTTTTTAATTTCATTGATTTAATTTTGATAGGTTTCAGTGATCCATTTGTGATTATAGAGCTTGTGCCTCGGCACTTTTTCCCTAACTGTGTTAAACAAAGAACAAAAGTCCAAAAGAAAACTCTATTTCCATTATTTGATGAAGCTTTTGAATTGTAAGTATAATCATATTTCGTTAAGCAATTTTACACAAAAAAAAATTATTACCTGTTTTAAAAATGTTTTGGAGTGAAACCGTAAAGCGGGCACTACAGCAAGGATGGCTCTGGCTACTAAAAATGTAAGAAGTGGTAAAAACGCAATTAATATTTTACTAATTTACTATATATAATTATTCAATCTTAACTACCACCATAAAATGCATTGTACATTATTCATATTAAAAATAAAAATTTGCTAGTTCGATCATCATTTAAACCTGAATTGACGGGGCCTTCTACACCGACCAAGATCAATTACCTCCCGAGAAAACTTAAATTTCTCGTGCGAGGCCTTACAGCAGACATCCGAACGGAAGATCTTCGGAATGATATAGAGGAAATGGTCGACGACCCATCAAGATAGAGCAACTAGGAAAGAGGCATGACAATGGCATACCTGCCAACTTTTAATCCCTTCCGTTATGAGTTTTCCCAGTGGTATTAAAATAGAATTAAAATTTCAATTTTAAGCAAAAAATAGAAGTTGTATTTGAAACAACTTAAGCAGACGAACATGATTGTAGCACATATTAAAATATATGCTTAATTTTTTTAAGAATAGTGGTGATCAAAATCATTTAAAAATTAAGTTTATAAAAGTANCTACTGGGGATAAACACAATTGTGTAGGTGCCCCAAAAAATTAATGTAGTTCCAGTTCCAGATCATCATTCAAACCTGAATTGACGGAGCTTTCTACACCGACCAAGAACAATTAGTTACCTCCCGAGAAAACTTAAATTTCTCGTGCGAGGCCTTACAACAGACATCCGAACGGAAGATCTTCGGAATGATATAGAGGAAATGGTCGACGACCCATCAAGATAGAGCAACTAGGAAAGAGGCATGACAATGGATACAAGCTCCTCCTCCTTTTTCTTGTGATACTCCATGACTTCCCAGAACACCGGGACTTTATTTTCACAAAGAATTTGCTATCCTGTCCAGTTCAAATCGAGAAATTTAACGGAGGGCGTTACGCCATCCAATGCTACAAGTGCCAGAAATTTGGACATACACAGAAAGCATGCTCAAGGGATCCAGCCTGCAAGAAATGTGCAGGAGCACATTTTACCTACCAGTGGGTGAAGCCTCTCTCCCTTCCGTCCAAATGTATCAATTGTCAAGGCAATCACCCGGCCTGTTTTACGGGCTATGGTGCTCGGCCGAGGCGAAATCATCGCACGTTCACGCGTTGACCACAAGATGCCCCCAGCAGTGCAGTGAAGTCATCAAAGAGCTTCAGGAACTTTTGAAAGATGAGAAAGTCATCTCATTACTCGTCTCCCTGCTCCCAGCCCAAAAGACGTAGACGAGGAGCCTCACCATCAAGCCGGCCACATCTTACCCATGATGCCTTTCATTATCATTTCAGGCTCTTTTCCGAACCACCAATACAACTTTCCTATGTATGTGTCCCTTTGGGATATTTCATGATGAATGCGATAAGGGCCATTTAGGCCGCAGATGCCCAGTTCTACAACAACGAACGAACGAACGAGCTTTTTCAATCCTAACCATTTATAAACGTAACGAAATATGCAACAATAAGTTGCTAATTTTCGCCTCTTCAAATGGATTTTTGATTTTTATTAATTATCACTTTTTACAATTTTAATTGTTTGTGGCATCCCTGCTGCAGTCATATCACTTACACTTTCTGACTGAAGCAAAACTCGGTGGGTGACTCTGGTAGTGCTAGCTTAAAACTCTTTAACTCAGAACTTTTATTGCACATATTTTTCATACTTTTTTCATTATTTTGTATTAATTAAGGTCAAAATAAGTGAAAAATATTACATTTAGAGTTTTTAGAATTTATTGTTATAAAATACAACATGAAATACTGGTGTCTATTTCTGCGTTAAAGGTAAAATCTTCCAAACACGGCAGACTTTCGTGCATTTTTCAAAAATGCACTTGTTTGCAGTTAATTAGATCTAAGAGAAACGGTAATTCATAAATGAAATTTCTTTAACTTACAAGATAAATTATTGATAAATTTTGCATATGAATGAGAAAAAAAATTCAAACTACTTTTTTGGATTTTATACTTTAGTGCAAATTTAATACCGATAATCAAACAGATTTTTTAGTATCTGTTAGACTACTTTTTATATTAAAAAATATCAAGACATATTTTTGATGATAATTTGAACATCAGAACAAAAATTTATGTAAGGGACACCGATGTCCCATCTGTATCGAAGGGTAAAAACCACTAACCATCGACAGCAACTCGCTAAATTTACAATTGTACTCAACAACTAGCTGAGAATCTGCTGAAGGCCTTAGAAACGTAATTGGAATTTTGGATATTTTCAAGAATATGTATTATGCATATATGTTTCTTTTAATTAGAGTTTCAGAAAAAATATATAAAAGAGAGACCGGTATCCCATCTCTCTCTCTCTCTCTCTCTCTCTCTCTAAGATACATCCACCGGGCCCTCTACNATATATATGTATGTATATATAGTTAAGTATGCCACTGCCCAGTATGCATTTAACCGATTGTTGACATTCACCGGTGAAAGTCGACATTCCCTTGATTTCGGTCATTCACAGTAACACACTACACACACACACAAAAAATTTACAAATACACTTTTTCATCGAATTGGCGATATTTCGCCAAGTTTTATGCTGAACTGCATCAATGTTATTAAATCCAAAATTTAGGGTCTTATAAATCAATAAAATATAACTTTTAGTGTAATAAAAAATTTAAACACATAAAAAGAAAAAAATATTAAATGAACACAAGGTAAACTAATATTCTTATTTCTTTCAGAATACTAAACCCAACTTTTATTTCATTTCCTATCAAAACACAAAAGTGTGCCCTTTTGTACTGATACAAAAAGTTTCATTATAAATGAAAAAATAGAGCTCGTGTTCTAAGTTTGAGATTTTTTTTCCAATTTAGCTGCTTCTTAATTTTTATTTTTTTTAATAGAATTTTTATATTTTCAGACAGAAGTAAACTTATTTATATTACGAGTTATTACGAATTTCTTGTTTCTTCAGAATAAATTTTAAGAATCGTATAAAGGAAATTATAAAACTTAATTTATTCATCTCTTTATTTGGAAAAAAATGTTCGCAAAACAAAAGGCTTGATGCTTAATTGGTTTATACAATTTATTAATAAGATTACTATTAATATGTCTTCTTTATCTGAAGCAAAATCGATAATATTTCCTCGATCACATCAATTCTAATTTCTGCTAGGGTCAATAAATTTTATAAAACAAGTTTTATGCTTGTATTTAGATAATCCCGATAGAAATGAACATAAATTACGCACAGGAACTATAAAAATAGCTCAATAAACTAAAAAACTATAGAACATCCTGTAAAACTCAACTCAAAAATCAACTCAATCAATTTCTGTTAATTTTAAATACTTCGAAGGTTATTTATTTGCTTTAAACTTTGTGTTATTGTTTCTAATTGCTAAACTTTTAACTTATTTATTCAATCTACTGTATAAAACTTTCTGAAAATCAACTCCTATTCAATTTCTGCTAATTTTAAATACTTCAATGGTCATTTATTTGCTTTAAACTTTGTGTTATTGTTTCTAATTGCAAAACTTTTAACTTATTTATTCAATCTACAGTATAAAACTTTCTGAAAATCAACTCAATCAGTATCTGTTAATTTCAAATACTTCAATGGTCATTTATTTACTTTAAACTTTGTGTTATTGTTTCTAATTGCAAACTTTTAACTTATTTATTCAATCTACAGTATAAAACTTTCTGAAAATCAACTCAATCAGTTTCTGTTAATTTCAAATACCTCAATGGTCATTTAATTACTTTAAACTTTGTGTTATTGTTCCTAATTGCAAAACTTTTAACTTATTTATTCAATCTACAGTAGGATACCTTATGAGCTATTGCACCGAGAGGGTGCAGGCCTGTGCTTCAGTGTCATGGATCACGACATGGTGACTAAAAATGATTTTGAAGGTGAAGCTTTTTTACCTCTGTGCAACATAACTGAATCTTCTCCAGAAGAAATGAAGGATATGCGACCCACTGAACTTTGTCTCATTCATCCAAATGATAAAAGTAAGATTTTATAACTGCTGCTTACTTTCATTACAAATTTTTCATTGGACAATGGTTGCAATTGTTGGCCCAGTGGTTAACCATTTCCACTCGATTTTTGCAACATTAAAATTTAAGTATGAAAAGCAGTTTATGTTAATGCTGATATATTAAAATAAGTATTCCATGAGTTCAAAGTTTTCCCGATATGTCCCAATCGTCTTGAATATTGTAAAAATACCTATATATAATTAATAAATAATAATAATTGGAAATATTATAAATGCATCAAATTATTTTTGCTTAGCAGAAGTTTAGAAACCAGAAATTGACGTTATGAAATAATCAAAACAAAAACTAAAATTTTGTTTTATAATATTTTTATCACTGGGATATATTGTCCCACTGATAAGTACGATACTGACAATACATCCTATAAGACAAATGTGTCAAAATGTCTTTAATCTGGTACTAAATAGGTACAATTATTACTTAATAAGAACATACATAACTATTTTACGCAAAATATGCCTAAAATATCGTTATACTTATCTCAAAATTCCGAAAATACATAAATTAAAACGAGTCTTTGACTTGCGTGTTTGCAAACAGAAGTCTGCAATTTTGAATGTGAAAGTGTTGCCAAGTTTTTATTCCCGAATTCCTAAAGAACCCTGAAAATACTAAAAAAAGCAGGCGGAATTCTGATCTATTTATCCATTTGGGAATAAAGTTTAATCTTTGGGACATATATATCTCCTTCGTGTCGAAATGGCTAAGGCACTGAGCAACTATTACGAAAGAACGATGTCCTGTCCCGAGTGGTCACTTATATTTTACCCAGCTTGTCTGGGAAGTAAAAAAGGCCGATTTATATTTCCGATCCCAAAATGTTGTTGTGTTTGAAATTATGGTGCCTTAACCTCCATTGCTTAACAGCGCTTTAACATTCAAATTATAGTTCTTAACCAGTGATTCGGATTAGAAGATAATTTGAACAACCAGCAAACAATCTGAACATTAGCAGATAACAAAATACGGGGCTTGACAGTGTTGAAATTACCTCAGACTCCTGTGCGTCAACGTTGTTTTTCGAAGCTCTATCGCCAAGGAAAATAAAAAAGCCATAGTTTAAGTGCCTTACACTTGAAGCAATGCGATGATTTTAATCTATTTTTGTAATCTTGTTGTGAAGAATTATTTAGGTTTAGAACAGACAAATAATTAGAATGTTAGCCAGCCATTAGAATTAGAAGCCATTAAACTTTTTTTTAAAAAATCACCAATTTGGCAACACTTTCCCACCGAGATGAAAATTATCAAAATAATTGCCGTATTTTGAGTTTTTGGAAATTTTTATGACCTCAGGTAATGCAGCATTGTAGTAAGTTTTTAAATGTTTAAAAATTAGACGGCAAACGCTTTTCATTTTCCCAAAACTGTGGCTTTTCATTTTCACAAAACTGTGGATTGGCGTTTAGCGCCATTTTCAAAATAAGCGTAGACAGCTCTGACTTTAGATAGGCTAAACTTGACTTAACAGTCATGAGTAACAGTTGCAAACTCACAACAGTTATAAAAATAGTATACTATTTGCAAAAAGTCATAATTTCATACGTGGCTGGGTGGCGCAGTTGGTTTGTCGTCGGCCCTCTGAGCCCAAGTCTGCGGGTTTGATCCCCGGCTCAGACACCGGATTTTCGGGATGCAGAAAATCCTCAGCGATCATGTCATATGATTATGCGGCATGTAAAAGATCCCTGGTGTGCATTATTGGCTCTTGGCATTTCCGGCAAAATTAAATTTCTAGTGCACTTTAGCATCCAAATAGAGTTTCGATGCTTCCATCTAGTGTGGCAGAAACTAGACGTCCAAATTAACATGACCAACGGTATCTCACCCATTGTGGTGGTCCTGAAAGAGTGGATACCACCTCTGGAGAACGCACTAGGTCTGCTCATCAGCAAGTCCGATTGTGCAGCTCATTGGTAATAAAAAAATAATAATAATTTTATATTACGAAAAGCATCATTATATATTATTTAGGGTGTGTGTAGTACAAAAAAAATTATTTTTTTCTGGCAAGTCAATTAGTAAAAAGTTTTTTTTTTAAAAAAAAGAGCATTTATATTATTAACAGAATTTTGCTGCTACCATGTTTCATAAACTAATGTTCCTGAATTGTTTAAAACCTTATTTTGAATCGTCCTCTTCTTAATTCTTCATTTGATTATTATTGAGTCCGTTAACGGACCCATCACAAATTAACTTTTCATAGAAACGGACCCTTCACAAAATATTTGAACTTAAAAACGGACCCTTCACAAAATAATTTATATTTTAATCGGACCCTTCGCAAATTTATTTACCTTCATTATTGTTTTGTTAATCGAATAAACCCTTCCCAGGGGGGAGGGGGAGAAAGACAGATGTAAACGAGCTTTGTCTTCGGCCGACGCTTCTTCCTTTATTCGTCCGAAATGAATATTCTGCGTTCAGCAGTATAGGCTAAATACCAAATATTTGTATGTTGCATCGCTAATTTAGTAGCTGCAATTGCTGTTTATTTTTTAAAATTTAATTTTTTTTAATTACAATTTTACAGTGTTGAGCATAATCTTGTACGTCTTTACAATTTAAAAACTCCTTGCAAAAGTTTTTCCGCAATAACGGACCCTATTTGCACAAATTCACCAAAGCTGACCCTGGTTGAAAAGATGTGACTTAACGCTTATTTTGTATTCAGAAATTACGAGTAATTTTTTCACAATTTTACAAAAACGAAACTTTCACAAAACGTCTGGACAGACCCCTGACAACTAATCAATTCAATCTTATTGCATCTTTGCAGTTTATAAAACTTTTCCAATAGTGCTATTTTTGGTACATTTTAACAATTAAAAATGTTTAAATTTTTTTTCAGATGAAATTCTTGTAGCTCTAGCGGCAAGAACATGGGACAAAGATGCTCAAGACTTCGTGAAGAATCTTAAGCATAGACGGTAAAATATATAACTCCTGAAACATTTAAGTTTTTATTCGATTCCTTTGAATGAGGTTTTGTTCTGACTTGGAAATAATTTATTGGCGAAAACTGACATATTCTAGTCTACGGTAACAGAGTAACGGACTCAGTGCCGACAGGGTATATTCATGTTGTCTATGTGAACATGATGTTGGTGTGTATGTGTAGTTCCATGTATATAGGTGTTGGAAAACTACCTAATGATTTCAAGTCTTTCATTATTTGTTTTAACTTGTTTTTTTTAAGAGAAAAGATATGACTGATGCTAGTCATTTTGAAATATTTACAAAAACACAACATTTACTTACGTACGAGAAAATTTCCGTTTTGGAATCAGCGTTAAAAAGCGTTTTTATTGTTATTCGTCTTGAAGACGCAGTGGTTTTTCCTTTACCAAAACTTATTTGATTTTATTTTAATTTATTTTTAGAATCAGAGTCAAAAATGTGTTTGTCATAATCGTTTGATATGAAATACTAAAAGAGAACTCTTACATAGGAAAAAAGTTATAAATGGAAATCTGTGTCAAAGATGCGTGTTCGTTGCTAGTCGTTATCTATTAAATGCAAGTTGAAAACGCCCGTTTCCTTTTTGGAATTAATGTTGTAAATGCATTTTTACTGAAGGTGTGCAATAAAGCAATGTATCCGGCATTTTTTTTAATCGGTGTAAAAATCCGCATTTTTATTTATCTTTCTCAACTGGTGCACAATTGTAAACTATTTGTTCGCACACAACAAATCTTTTTTTTTGGAAATCAGCGTCGAAGATTGTCTTTGAAGCTAATCGTTTTTATTTGCTGCAGAAAATAAAGAGGCTGATGTACGTACATTATATTTATAGTTTAAAATCAGCGTTACAATTCGAAAAGAACAAAATATTAGTCTGAATAGTTTTGGCGTTGATTTCTATCACAATATTTTCATGATACATCATCGCATCATGACTCATGCTCATACAATGTCGTTGATATTTATCGCTTTATAATTACTACAAGAAACTTTTATGCTAGAATAATACAGCTAAAAATATAACTATTTGTTAATCCTTTAATTTTTTAATCAAAAAAACACAAGAATGGAAGGTTTGATTTGAATGTTAAATTGTCCGTTTATATTTGACTTTTATTAACAAAATTATATAACGATTTAGCATTTGATAATTTTAGGTATGGTTAGATTACGCGTGACCTAGCGATCGAGACGATTATAGACGATCGAAACACGTGATTTAGCGTCGATCGAGACACGTGGTGTAGTTACACCTAAGAGTAACACGTGCAATCGATTGTAGGTAGGAAATACCTAATAGGTTTCCTTTTAGCAATATTTAAAATCTACTATTGTGATAAAGTTAGCAAGAATTTATGAGGTACATTTTGATATAATTCTATCAATGTTTTATCCCATCATTTTTTTCTCATGATTATGTCTAAAATTATTTTATTCTAAATACAATTTTTATGAAATTATAGATACTATGAAGGAAGAATTACTTTAGTTGCTTACTAAAAAATAATTTATGTTACGCATTGATAAGCCTCTTGATTCATAATTGGAAAATTTATTTATTTATTACACATAAGAGATAAATTAATTGGATTTTTTTTGTGCGGCCCACCAAGAATTTACATTTTATGAATGCGTATGTTTAAATAATATATTTTTTGATTTCGTAGTTTAAAGATTAAAATAAAATATTTCAATCATTTAAAAAAAAATTTCTTAAAACAAGATTTAGTGTTTTAAAAAATCAAATGCGTTAAAAGGAAATTACCAAATGAAATATCTTTAAAATTTAAAAAACATTTTTATCTTAATTAAGCAAATAAATTAGCAAGAATTTTTGATTATATGTTTTAATCACGACTGAGCATGAATTACTACATAAAAGTAAGAGGATATGTTTTAAAAAAATATATATTTAATTAATTATAATATTGGACAAACATATTTTAAATGATTTAAATAAAAATATTTTTAATAATATTAATAAATAATAAATATATTTAAAAAAAATTTAAATCTATATTTCTTAAAACAGCTTCATGGCTGTTTTATGGTTGTTAGGTATTAAAACAATATTACTGTTTTCAAAGTAAGAAGTAGGAGCCTTAACGTAGCGACATCTGGTTTCGAAAATATAAATTTAACTTGTATAATTTTAAAGAAATATCCAAATTATGTATAACGATTTAATATCGCATTTATTGCAACTTTAAAAAAATATATTGAAATATAATAGAATATTAAAATGTGTAGACATCAAGAAAAAAAAATTATTCCAAGATGGAAAAGAACAAATGCGAAGTATGTGAGGAAAGAAAATTAGAATTTTTGCTCTTATATTAAGATAATAATTCCTTTTTAACAGCATAAGAAATTTTTTAAAGTATCTTTTTTCCCGGGTGACTAAGTTATATTACTGCGATAGATAACTAGGTTGTATGACGACGATTTAAACCGAGAAACTTAAAGTAAGTTTAAGTTTGTCAACTGAATAAAATAGAATCTTCTTTTTTTTTAATACTTATTTTATTATTATTTCAAAACATGATGTTTTTTGTCAACAGACATAAGAAAAAATGTGCTGTTTGCTACCCTAAATCGTAAGAAACTCATCTGAATTGGAAAACGATGGTAAATTAAACGTTTAGTAGAAAGAAATGTCTTGCCTGCTTTAACTCTATTAAGTACCTTTTCTTCGCATTTTATTTAATTGAAAAACTGCAATGAAGAGCTAGTTTAAAGAAATAAAACACTAATAAGACTAAAAAGGAAATGAAAATCAAATTTTAATTTATAATACGTTTTAATTCCTAATCATAATTTCTAATTCCTATTTTATTTTAATTATGCTTATCAAATATACAGTATTAAAATAAAATAATAATTAGAATATTTTAGACGAATAATTCCAACAATTTTGCGGAAATTTTGAACTAATTTTAGTCATTTATTATGATTACTAACTAATCACTAACTACTAGCATAATTATGTTTAAATTATGTGTGTATACTACTCAAAATAAATAAGGAAATAAAAAGTATCCAATATTATTGATTATATTGTTATTGATTAAAAATTAATTGTTTAATTCAATTAAAAATTACTCGTCAAATCTTGTTTAACTGATATGTCTGAAATGTTGGTTCATTAATTTTTTAAAAGTTTACATTTTTTAAAATAAATCTTAGACTATTTTAAGAAAAGAAATATTTATCAGTTTTTGAAAAATTTATAACCTTTCTCAAGATTTTATCAATTTTCTACGCTTTGATTTTTACAAAGGGTATCATCCCTTTAACTTATATATTATACTCAATCCAGGGACTAATAATATCTATGGTTCAATCTAATCACAGATATATATTAGTGTGAAAGATAGTTTTACGACGAGCATTCCTTCATATTGCATTACTTACTTTAAGCATGCCGTGCATGAGTACACCTTGGTTTATTCCAGCCATCCGATTTTTTATTTATTTATTTATTTATTTTCTTTTATTTAGTAGCAGTTTGATTTTATTTAGAAAAACATCTTCCTTTTTGAAAAACAATCAAAAATGCTAAGGTGAGGTGAAAAAACAGTATTTCGTGAGTGATATACTGAGGAACTATATTTTTTGCGTAATTTAATGTCATTTTATTTAATGATATTTATACTTTATAACAAAAACAACATTCCAACTTTGTGTATTAAATGAACAATCTAATAAATTCCCAAACATATACACATATTAATTAACTTCCTTTTTAAAGAGCATATATATGAATAAACTAAACAGGGCATTTTACTTAATATATTACTCTTACAAAATGAAAAATATAATTTTTTTTCTAAATATAAATTTTAAAAAAAAATTGTGAATTACAAAAATAGTTAAATAGTTTAGCTGGCATTTATGCTTAATATGTATTCAAAATCAAAAATTAGTATTTTTTAAACCAAAATAAAATTTTCTATTATCCATATAGTAAAAACTCTGAAAATACGTATAAAAATACCCTGGTAACTAAGGTGAAAAGCAAATGAGCTTATGGCGAATCTTCATCGAATTAATTTAGAAAGCCTTCACAACCAGTAAAAATACATAATTAATTAGGGTTCATTAAAACCTTCATAACCAGTTTGGTTATCAAATGGTTACTAACTTTATCTTTCAGTTTATCCAAACGTTTCTTTATTTTTAAACCCGTCATTACTATCAGTGATTGCGATTTATCAGGTTTTGATTTGCAATCCGCTGATGTATTTATCTAATTTTGTTTTGCATTTCGAGAAGAATTACAAAAAATAAATATTAAAAGCGGTGATTCAGGAACACCTTTGCTCATAAACAAAGTAATACTAGTCCTTATTGTTTTCTGCTTTGTTTCTTCTGAATGCTTTATTCTGCGAAATTTTTTATTTTAAGCATGATTTTGCTGTTCCGTTTCGTTTGCTGATGTTTTGTTTTGAATGTGTTTTTCTTTACATTTTTTTTCTATAATTTATTGTTCTTATATTTTACTATATCTTATTTTTCATTTGCTTATTTTATTTTATATATTTTATTTTTGCACATGTCTAGAAAAAGAGCTGAAACAGAAGAGGATGTAGCAGCTGTAGAAGAAGAATAGCAATAACTCGAAATATATTACGCCAAAAATTTTCCTCAAAATTGTCAGCATAAAACTTATTGCTAATTTCGCTTACTAACACAATCGAACTAACTCAATTTAGAAATTAATTCAAAATTATTCAGCTAACCGTGCTAGAGTATAAAATATTTACTGCTTAGTGCAATTGAATTAGCTTGATTATTCGCTAAACTTCTAACTTTCTTAACAAACAATATCCTTATTTCTATTATAAAAGAAAGAAATTAAAAGAGTATGCTACTAAATAATAATGTTCTTAAAAACACAAAAACTTTTCAAATTATTTTCAGCAATACATTATTATTTTATATAACTGCTAATACGTCTAGAAATTTAAATATATTATTTATTCCTGTTTTTTCAGAATGAATCGATATATTAATTAACTAATTGCACTAAAATATTAACTGCTCAACGCACTGAAACTAGATAAATTATTAAAAAAAACTTCGGCAATGCTTTGCTAATAATTTTTTTTTATTTAATTTAAAAGAGACAGAAACTAATTTTATCAATCACCCTTTAAGGCATGAAAACCGTACGAACTATTTTCGGCTACGCATTATCCATTTACATAATTAATAATAAATTTAAGCGTTGAAAGACCTTATTCTATTTTAAATATAAATTAATTCCAAATACTTTAGCTATTTCTGTTAATAAGGTATAAAATATTAACTGCTTAACGGTATAAATTAGCTGAATCATTCTCTAAATTATTTTTATACTTTTAAATTGCTTTACTAACATTTTTTATTTCTCTTAGAAGATAGAACAGCAACAACTTAGGTAAACTTTGCTAATAGAGATTAAGAAAACGATTGCAATTTGTATTGTCTTCCAGCACAACAGCTCATTCAAAATCATTAATTAATCAAAAGCCGCACCAATTATTTTTGACTATACTTAACTGAAATAAAAAATTAACAATAAATATAGAAATTAAAATACTTATTTTTTTTCTACAATATGGATCAAGAGGTTCTAGAATGCTATGTGACTTTTTAATTTCACCTTGACATTGCTAGAACTGGCTGGAGTTAGAGCTTGTGATAGAGATAATTTGTAACGTTTAATTATAAATGAATACCTCACTGCCAATGGCTTTTGCTTTTTATTATTTATTTAAAAACAAATTCTGCATTAGTGTATATTTATTACCAAAAGCTGAAAAACAAGGCCTATTGTCCTTAAATTGTTATGAGATTATTTAAATATAGAACTCTTTGTAAAAAAGGACACTTTTTGAATAGTCGGTAGTATTCCAATCTTACAAAAAGAGAACTATTTTTCGCCAATGTATAACTCAATAGATACAAAATTGTCATATCTAAAAAGAATTGAGTAGTTTAAGTTGCATTTGGAAGCATTTATTTATTTTTTAAGATAAATATACTAAGGGCAAAGAAGTTAAGTGCTACAGCAAGCTATAATTAAATAAATTAAGTACTTTGATTTACTTTGGATTAAATAAATTCACATTCTTCTAAAAATAATCTGCAGCGATTCTGCAGCAGTTAGTGCAGTGAACTACGCTAATTTAACTGCATAGATTTGAATAAAATGTTAATATTTTTTGAACCTAATGTAATGACATTGTTGAATATTTTAATATAATACTGTTTTATGATAATACTGTCTCATATAATGCAAATAAAAATTATATTTGCTAGTTTAGCGAATAAATTGAAAAATAATAGAACTTTTTACGACCTAATATATATTTACCAAAATCTTATTTACATTGTTTCTATAGGGAACAAAATATAAAGATTAGCTTATATATAAAAATAGTTATCACTACGTCACTAATTAAAAAGTATATAAATTCTGATAGTTTATAATGATGTAGTTTAAAAACTTGATATTGTTTCTATTAATCTATAGTTAAAATATTAAATATCTGTTCCAATTCTTGTAGCAAAAGATAACTTTCGGCTTCAAATGTAAGTTAAAATGACGTTTAATGAAAAAATACTTGTTTATCAGTTCAAGTATTTGACGTCGCCGATACGAACTTTTCACTAAAGAAACGTATTCTTTAATATAATAATTGGGCTGTGAGTTACAATATTTCATTACCCTCATATTCTTTTATATAAAAATGTAGTGACACTTTTATTTTACTAGAAAGTAAATTATATGTCCATCTACTAACTCTTTGACACGGTTTATACACGAGATGAAGAAAAGTGGCAGAAACAATTAATTATTTATCACGTCAAATATTTTACGATATTTAATTTTGTTCATGCTTTATTCTTCTTCGATGAACTTTTATTTTAATTAGTAATTTTAAGTAATTTTATCGCAATTTTTAGAACTTTTAATATAAGATTCATTTCAACATTGTCAGAAAAATCTTTCACTTAATTATCCGATCACCTAAATAATTCTTCCATATTTTTTGTATAAAACGTTAAAATTTAAAATTTATTTATGACTTTACTTTTATTTAATCACTAATAAATCATTTTATCGTAATCTTTAGAACTTTTAATATGAGATTTAATTTAACAGTGACAGAAAAATCTTTCACTTAATTATCCGATCACCTAAATAATTCTTACATATTTATTGTATTAAACGCGAAAATGTAAAATTTATTTATGACTTCACTTTTATTTAATCACTAATAAGTCATTTTATCGTAATCTTTAGAACTTTTAATGTGAGATTTATTTCAACAGTGTCAGAAAAAATCTTTCACTTAATTATCCGATCACCTAAATAATTCTTACATATTTAATGTATTAAAACTGAAAATGCAAAATTTATTTACGACTTTTATTTTATTTTATCACTTATAAATCATTTTATCGTAATCTTTATAACTTTTAATATGAGATTTGTTTCAACAGTGTCAGAAAAATCTTTCACTCAATTATCCGATCACCTTAATAATTCTTACATATTTATTGTATTAAACGTTAAAATTTATTTATAAGTCTGAGTAATTAATGTATACTAACAAATTTATTAAATTTATAATTAAAATAATTGTTTTATTTTCTTAAAGTTTCATTATATTTTACCAAAAATATCAATTTTATTTGAGTAATTCTCATATATATTTACTTTACTAAAGGTTAAATAGTATTTGTCTATATCTTTATTAAGATACACAAAATAAAAATATAATTGAAATACTCTGATAAAAAATAAAAAGAAATAAAAGCATAATAATCTGAAGAAAAATTTGTGTATTAGTGTGTGTTGAACAATATTTAAAAAATAAAATATTACAAAAAAAACATGAACTTGTCATTAGATCGAAAAGAATTTTTTCTTCTCCATACCTGTAAAACAAGCTAATAAAACTTGCCTAAATTTGATATTTAAAAAAATATTTCATGCGTTTAGTTTTAAATTTAAGTCTCTGTTTTATAGCTTCAAACAACACATTTAAGGACAAGCGCCTTGTATTTTATTTAACTACAATATAGTATAGTATTTTTCTTGATTGTAGTATGTAGTAATAAATAAATTATGCTGCATTTTAATTTGCTATTAACATAATTTAAAAGCATTATTTTTCTGCTGTGCACTGATTCCTTCCATAAAAATGCTTAGCACAACCAGATAAAGATTATATATTAATGCATATATGAATGAATATCTATATAAATATATATATATATATATACATAGCTCTCTTATTAGAATGAAGAGCTAGCCCAACAATATTGTGGTTTCAATGTTCCATTTTTCATGTAATTATAAAATGTACTAAAGTTATCTATTTGGAATATGTATGTTATACATTCTGTTTTGTGAAATTTTGTAAAATATCCTTGTTACACATCTCAAAACTACTCTGCACAATTTTCATGAAAAATTATTTGATGGCCTCTTAATTATTGACTAAATCCTGTTCGTAATCTATAGGTGTATTCATAATTTATGTTATGGTAGAAAATATATTTTAGCCATGAAAAATTAAAATATTGACATAACTTTGAGCTTATATATAAATATGAAGATTTAAAAAAGAAAACTGATTAAAAAAATATTTTTAATGCAATATTTATACTTTGCCTGTTTTTTTAGATAAGTATCAGATTAAGTTATGATATTTCTGGAAAAAAAATTTGTTTTTGTTTTACCTGTTTGTTTTAAAAATTTTAAAACACGCACATCAACTTTTAAAAAGCAAATTTTTTTTATCGTGATGTAATCTTTTTGATACAAAGATTTGATTTGAAATTTTAATTAAAAATGTACGATATTTATGCATTTAAAATATGCTTTGCGTAATAATTTTCAATTCAGTAGGTTAATTAACGAAATGAAAACTATTCGGTTTTCTAATGTTTAATATTTCTCTTAACGCTAAATTCATTTTTTCTGAAATTGGTATTAATTTTTAGCCCTGACATACACTGTAAAAAACTGCGGTTAGAATTAGCATTCTTTGTTTTACAGAAAGAAACTTTTAAAAAATTAAATAACTGACCTGTAAGTTTCTATATTTCTGAAGAAATACATCATAATATTTTTAGAATGAACTGATATAATGATAACCTTTTAAAAATAGAAATTTAAATTTCTAACAAAATTGTTTTTCAAAACTAAAATGGTAGCTAAAAACTTATTTAAATGCAAATTTGTCATTTTTTAAATTTTTATACCTGGGAACTTGCCACACTTTTTCAATTAACATTTTATCTATCGCTGTAAGACATAAGACATTTAAACAGATCTAATTAACAGTTTTTGAAAATGTTTTTTTTTTGTAAAGTACATTGACTCACTTCCAGTTAATCACAAAATATTAATTTTATACAAATGATATTACTAATGTAACAAAGCATGATTGAGTAACAAATTTTTAAATTGCTAACTATTTAATAAATTAACAACTTGTCATTTTGTCACCATTTAGCTTTTTTGTCCATATTCTTGTCTTGTCGTGCACCTAAAAATGAAAAACAAAATAGTCAAAACAAAATTCCTTTTTATTTATTTTCTCTATTTAGTTATTAATTTGTAACTGCAACCATGTATTGCATTATCAATGATATGTAGTTGAAGCAAAACTCTTCCTTACTATGACATTCAATTCATAAGATGAAAAATATCCTAGAAAAAGTTGCTAATTTTAATATATATTTTTCGACACCAGTAACATCCCTGAGCTGGATCAATGCATCCTATTACTGAAAGCCTCCATACGGTTTTTTATAGGTAGTCCGATCAGACTAGTAGTCAGATCAGAAAATAGATATTTACTTTCCGAACGAGTCATTTAATACAAAATCTAGTTAAAGTAAGAAAATGGTAGCAAATATATGACTAAAAATTTGTTTTATTTATGAATATTATTGGTTTGCCTTATTCACTTGTCAACCACTACAGATTCAATTTTAAAATATGTAAGATAAATTTCTCTCAGTTACTTTTATAAAAGGTTTTGGGTTCATGCACACAACTGGTTCACTTTTTAAATAGTCTGCTCGGACTACTCATAAAAGACCGTGTGGAGGCTTTTTGATGTAAGAGGTGATGGCTGGATCAACGCATCCTATAACTGAAAGCCACCATACGGTTTTTAAAATGTAGTCAAATCAGATCACTATGAGAGTAAACTTGTTCACAAAAGAACCATTTTATAAAAAAATCATGGGAAAATAAGAAAGTGGTAGCAAATATATATCTAAAAATTTGTTTAATTTATGAATAATATTAGTTTGTCATATTTACTTGTCAACCACTACAGATTTAATATTTTCAAATATATACGATAAATTTCTCTCAATTACTTTTAAAATAAAACTTTGGCTCATGAGCACAACTGGTTCACTTTTTAAATAGTCTGAACAGACTACTGATATAATACCGTGTGGAGGCTATGAGGTACCAACAACCGTGAGGAAATTGAATTATAATTGCGGACTAAAATATTTTATATGATCATATTTTTATAAATATATTTTATTTATTTATATATAGTATATGTTAAAAAAAATTTCAATGAACTTAATTATGAACATAAAGCCTACAGTTAAACAAAAATAAAATTTATTGTTAAATTCGTAATTATGCAGTGTGATAGTAAGAACTAGACATTGCATTGATTTGTATTCACCAGCTGTTGAAGATGTGGTTGTAATTAAGAGGTCATCATATTACTAAAAGCATTATGTGTGTCTGGACTAACCTAACTAGACAGAACCAAGATGAACATATCATCAGGTGTCTGAACCACCCTTCCTCAACACAGCTTCAAACATCCTTCAAAGTGAGATGCACACATAAATTGTACATAAGCTTTACGCACGCTGCCATGCCACTTTACCAAAATTTTTAAAAACATACTTAAATTTTGGATGTATTTTATATACATTTTGAACAAATTATACTGACAATCAAAAATTGTCGTTTAAATTAGTGATTGAAACGCTTTTACACATTCTACAAGTTGTATTTTTGGCTGATGAAATCTAACTTTGCATTAAATTCTAGTTTTCCAGGAAAGTTGTGTTTTATCTGAAAATTGTGTATAGTTTCTGTTTGAAAACAAAATACTTAATTTTTTGTTTGCAAAATATATGCTACACAAATTTCTGTAATCTTAGAAAAAGCAAATTAACCATCCGCTATAATATCAGTTCTTTGAACCATAATATTGAGGAAATTTTCTGAAGTATAAATTATGTGTTTGAATTAAATGTTTCCTTGAAGTTGAACTTTAGTATCGTGCTGTTAAAATTAAGAATGCAGGAGTTCTGGGAATCAAATCACATTCCAAATTTTCTTAAACTTTTTAAATATATGCTATCTTTTGACTGCCGATATTTCAAACAATCTAGTTTATTGTTTTCACGACAAGTTATAATTCTTTATTTAATTATAACTCTTTTTATAACTTTATTTTAAATATCACTGTCAGGAAAAAAAAACTACTAATAAACCCCCTACAAATATTAATATTCCATTCATGTTTTTTCTGAAACGTACAGTATCGCGTACAATTGTACCAATCATATGCTTTAGAATATGAATTTTCATTTTAATGAAAAAGCTACGATAAAAATACAGTCAGAACAGCTTTAGAAAATAGTTTACAATACAATTAAAA